TAAACATGCATTAGTTTTAGAACATGTAAAAAGAACTACAAATGAATAGAATGACTGTAAATGAACAAATGCTCTTCAAAGACGGCCGAGATGAGTTTTCCATTCACATTGTCTAACTCTGCTGTTAATTCAGCATATCCTCAAAAGATCAGTTCTTGATTCCAAAAGAAATTGAACCAAAATACTTACCGAAAACATATAATCTTATTTATACTGAAATGCATTCTGTTATTTTACTGTTTATTTCTGTGAAGCTGCATTGACACCATCTGTACTGTATAAAGCACTACAGAGATAAAGACGTTTTGACTAACAGGAATACTGCTGATCTGAATCCTTGCATTATAATAACACATCCAGACTAGCTGTTATCTGTGTTGGGCTTCTTGAAGGACGAATCGCCGCTGGAGAAATGCATTTCCTTACATTTAAAAAAAATGATGTTCAAACTCGGTTACATTACAAATGTTTCAGGATTGAATGTTAATGTTACACAGCAGAACAGAAAGGCACATTCGGAAAGGTTTGGTTTGCTCTTAATTATGTTAATGTTAATCTTAATATTAATATTGTGTGGCACAAAACATTAAAAAATTCAGACATCCAAATCCTCATTTCTTTCCAAAACTCATAAAAGAACTCAAATCCTGCTCAGAATCTCTGCCTCCTGAATTAACAAAAAGTTCAAATCAAACACAAGAATAACAGTCAGAAAGTAACACAAACAAACTACTGCTTCCTTACACTGTAGGTAGTGTTAATAGTGTTGATTATTATATTATATGTGATATAATTATTTAAATTGAAATTGCATTAGCTTGCTCAGTTTCGACACAACTGACGTCATTTCACAAAAGCATAGGACACACCATACTATGTATTATATATTTTTAAATTGGTAAATTATAAAAAACTATACATTAAAGTATATATATTTTTCATTTAATCTATTATTTAAAAAAACAATAACCCTGTTCACTTAAAAAGCAGGTTTTGTGCTGATTATGTTACCACTGCTTTGGGATTTAACGTTACAGGGTAAAAGCTGAGTGCAAAAGTTGTTTAGCTTGATTATAAGTGTGAACATAATGAAACACAGATAAAAACTGTAAAAGAACCACGTGATGAAGCAGATGTATGACATCACCTGCTTATATATGATTTCAAAAGGATCAAGCCACTGAAATGCATGAGCGCTCTGAACAGAAAGAGCAGATAAATTCTACATTTTCTTAGAAATCATTGATTTCAAAATACTGGTAGTATTACAATTCCGTATAACCCAGTAAAATGTAATGATGATGGAAGTGTTGGCTGATATTCCAGTGAATAAAAAAGTGTTAGGAAATATGTTTTTGTTCTTCTGCAATACACCGTAAGCGAAGTAAAATCATCTATAATGTGACTAAATTCAGTGTTCTACTAATTGCTTCATGGGTTATAAATGGGACAACTTACTAGCCGGGTTTTTTTTTTTTTTTTTAATGCTTGAACTGAACTGTTCAGCATAAACACATGCTGCCATTTGTTATGCTGAATTTACTCTGCATTATAAACGGTCTTTACTTCCTGATGGCGCCACGTCATTCTATACACCATAACCTGATGTTTATTTTATTTCGTCAGCGCTGATGAGTCTGATTTCCGGCATCAATAACAGCCCAGAGGAAGCCAAACGAAGCATTCCTGCAAAATGCATGAGCTAAGAGGCTCCTGCTGAAAACACACGGGTGGAGTCACAGGAATGGACGAGCGGCTTGTTAGAGAGCTTTTGTCGCAGCAAATCCTGAATGGCCCCCAGGCAAATGTACATATAGCTCTTTTGTTTGTCTAGCTGTGTGTATGTGTGTGTGGGTGTGTCTGTGTCTGTGTGTGGTGAATGCTTGTATGTTTGACAGGAGTGACGGGATAATGATAAGAGGGTCTCGTCCCATGAGAGTGTGTGTGTGTGTGTGTGTGAGGTTGAGCTGGAGGTGTTGGGCTTCCTAATGAAGGACGCCGAGTCACACCATTGCAGACAACACAATGCTGTAGACTCTCTGGATTAACACAGGTCATCCTGATTCACCAAACCCCTCAGCAGACGGGCTCGTCCTGTGTGGCAAAGCTCAAGACCAAAGAGAAGCAGCGGCCACATACATGAGTCTACTTTCACAGACTCCAAAGATGATTTTTAGCTTCACACGATGGCTTTGTGTGAGGAACAGACTTAAATGAGCTGTTATCCATTGCAAATCTTCCCCTCTGCTGCAGCTCTCGAATGTCTCTTGTGCTTTTACGTGTTCAAACTTGCTGTGTGAAGATGCATTGCTTCCTCTGTTCTATTCCCGGCTGAACGCAGTCAATCACGCTGTGTTTAACCATTTGCAGATAACAGGGAAAAGCTGACGGGCCAGGCTTTATCTGTGGAGGTGACCCTTTGATCTGGCCTACAGATTAACCCTGGACTCACAGAGACTCCAGATTCACCTCCAGACCCTCACAGTCCAATAAAAGCACACAGGACCAGCCGTTTAATGCACAAACCAGGAGGATTGTGCAAGCTGTAGTCTCCTGCAGCAGGGTATGGTCCACCGCAATGAAGCATCACCATTACTGAATGATTCTGAGAGCTGGAAATGTGTGACCATGTTCTTTACTTTCAATACAAAATTCAGTTACTGCATGTATGAATGTACCAGTGAAATCATATTAGTGTTTTTAATGTAACTCTTGAGCAAAGTGGTATGTTTTCTGCGATGAACCCAGCATTTGAAAAACCACTGAGCTTCTGTTTGTTAGAGAAATAAACCATACAACCAAAACCAAAAACATAGTGTAAGTTGCAATTAATGGAGTCCAAACACATGGCAAAAGGAATAACATGACTTTGAAAATTGCAGAGAAGGAAGAACAGGAATTTTGAAAATTGCCGAAAATTACATAAACATTTGGTTGCAACTTTCAGTTTTCTTGATCACAGTTTCTTCAACTATAGTGGCTACAAGCTTTGAAAATGGATGAAATTTGGTGTGCATCTTAAGATTGTCTTAGTGTCCATGTGTATGTAGTTTTGTGAGGTATCACTGAGCTTCTGGAGTTCTCATGCAGTACAGTACAATGTTTTTAAGAGAAATAAACCATACATGGAAAACCAAAAACATAGTGTAAGTGACAATTAATGGGGTCCAAACACTTTGGAAAAGGATTAACATGACTTTGAAAACTGCAGAAAAGGAAGAACATGAACTGTGGTTGTAATGTTCAATTTCCTTGATCAAACTTTCTTAAACTATAGCAGCCACAAGCTTTGAAAATGGATTAAATTTGGTGTGCCTCTTCATATTGTCCTAGTGTCCATGTGTTCCAAGTTTTGTGATGTTTGGACACTGGATTCCCAACATACAGGGCAAAAAGTCATCATGGGCCACATCCAGAAAATATATACTCACTCAAACTTGCCAGGCAAAGCGGATAATCAAAATTCTGAAAAAGAGGTTTCCAAAACATAAAAATGGCTTTAAATACTACAAAATTCGGTGAAAGGAGTTTCCAGCCCATATGATTCTTGAAATCTAAGCATTGACGCATATTGATTATAGCACCACCTTGCTGCCAACTATCACAGTTTGGTTTGTAGGCCCACACAATCCTACAAGTGTTGATATATATTGGAGGAGGTTCAGGATCAAAGCAGTACAGGACCTCACAGGAGCCAAAAGCACAAGTTCCCATCAGCTTAGTAAAATCTGCTGTAAGATTCGGACTCTCAGTCCAGAGGTGTGGGATGACTGTCTCCTGAGCTTCATATGAACATAAAGAGCCCTGAATGCAGCAAACGCCCTACAGGGATCCTCATGTATTATTATTCAACCCTAGAATCAAGACGATGAGGTATCATGTTAATACGGCCGCCATCATTCCTTCAGGACAAGCATACTTTCTATTTTATGTTTGTCTGTAATGAACTAGTCTGATGACTGAATAATGGTATGCTACGAAATGCATGGGATGTTTTAAGCATGTGCTCAGAATGTACATATTTTCACCAAAAGGAGGTTTACTGTTTTACTAAGAATGATTATTACTCTTTAACTTTCATGCACTAGTTCCTCCATAGGTGTCTGACTTAAGAGTGTTTTCCCACATGCCCAGCATTTATACATCAAGCTGCTTCGTGGCTTTCATGAGCACAGCCTCAGATTAGAGATTTAACACTGCCCTATATAAGTAAATATAGTTTAAAGTGAATTCGTACCACATGAGGATTTTCTCTCGCACTAAGTCACATCTGAGCGGCTGTGAGAATATTGCATCGACATTCTTCACGAGTACGAGCGATCAACAAACAGATTCACCGCATCCACTCAAAATTATGGATATATTGCACTCCTTTCATGTACACTGGCATGATGACTGGCTATTTACCCTCTCTGATCCTGCTGATGTTTGTTTTAATTTCATGTAGTCCTCTGCCCCGCCGGGCTTACTTTCTACATGCAAAGAATAAAAAATCATCTGCCGGAGCTCTGGGAAAGCGGCCCTTTTCCAACCCATGCCTACAGATGCTTTGAATTTAGGGAGATTTTCCTGCGAGGAGAGAGCTGCCCGTATTTCCTGTGGATTAGTCCTCAGATGCTGGAGGTCTGCGCTGGGAAACTGACCCGCCGCTGACTGCCAATAACCCCGGCATAAGAGCTCGTGAAAGAGCTGAGAAACTGAGAGCTGCTGCTCTACACTATCAACCCAACGAAACTGCTGCCCGACATACAAGAATACTCTAGTATTCATCTCTAATGAGTCCGAAGCTATCATAACTCACATGGATAAACATCACAGGAGCTGAAAGGATGTATGAAATAAACTAACTTATCCCAATGTTTCCTTCACAGTTCCTCTTTTGTCTGTATTGAATGTAAGATGACCTCATTTTAAATATAATTCTGGACAAAGGGCTCCATCTGCTGACAGCAGTCACAAATTACACAAGTTATGCGCTTCATATATATATTTTGTTTTCAATTATTGTAGATACACTTTATGCAAATTAACATTGTGATACACATTATACACTGAAACAACAGAACAAACTAGACTAAATTATGCAGTAGTCGCAGTGCCAACACAAAACCCAATCCCTCTGTTAAAAATCAAATCAGACTCCAAACTGTTGCTGTTATAATAAAAGTACCAAAAATATTTTACCCCCCAAACTTCATCATCAAGCATAAAATTAAAATTTTTTCACCTCTGAAATCTACAGAGGATTTTCTACTTCAGTTGGCGTCGAGTTTGGCCATTTCCTGCACGTAGATCCCGATGCTCTCGCTGTCAAACAGCACAAAGTACACCGTCTTGATGGAGGACGACATCGTTGTCACAAAGTAGCTGGAGATGGCCTTCAGAATGAGCTGAGCGGCCGTCTGCTTCGGAAAACCGTTTCTATAGACGAGAAACACAGCAAAGCATGCAGCGTCACAGTATTCAGGAACCGTTACACTTCAACAACCACCTGATGGCAAACGGCAAAAATAATCATCATTTAGCTATTAGTATTTAGCATCTCAAATGGATGAGGAAACTACTAAGTATATCATTTTCGAACTAATCAGTCCGTACATTATCCCATTTCCCCCTTACATTATGCACAACATGCATTTTGCAACATATTTTATTAATTATGTTAGTTGAGGTTTAAATATAGCACTTTAATTCTAAATTAACCTATTAACTACTAACTTATTTAACAAAACCAACCTAATGTTTATATTCTTTAAGTTGCAAATAATTTTTTCTTCGATATTATGATGTTTTTTATTTTATGCATTTAGCGACTTGCAATGCATTCAGACTTTAAATTTTTTTTACCAGTATGTGTGTTCCCTGAGAATCGAACCCACAACCGTTTGCGCCGCTAACCCAATGCTCTACCACTGAGCCACAAGAACACATGATGTACATCTGAATGAAAAACAACAATGTAGTTTCCCTTTCAGACATGGGAGGAGAATATTCAAATGAATCACGCAACGTTTGCGTTCGTCAAATTACTGGTATTTGCGCCATTATATAACAGCCAAAAAAAGCATGTCTTAAAGCAGACGGTAATTTGGTAATTTTAAAATCTGGTCAGTATGGAAATGATCTGCTGCGTCTGTGTTTATTAATGTGTGCATTGCTAGTAAATCACTCGCAGAATTTCCCCTCCCATCGGCGCTTTTATGAAATTGCGATCTAACACTAATTTGCCCTGTTTAGTAAATCTGGCCCTAGGGCAATAAGTTACTTTAATTACTGTAGTTATTACAACTAAAGTTGTACCTGCCGCTGCCGATGGAAGGGAAGGCCACAGATTTGAGCTTCTTCTCATCAGCGAGAGCCAGACAGTTCTTCACCGTCTTATCCAGCATCTCCTCACATTTATCCGAGCCCCAGCCTGGACTGTTACAGTGGATCACGAACTTGGCAGGAAGACCGTATCCTGAGGTCATGGCCGCTGAGGAACAACAAAGATAATGAACTTAAATGACCTTATCAAACATACTGCAACTTATCCACAATTAACAACAACTCCTTAAGATCAACTCTCTTATCTGAATAAAAAAGTAAGCCATGAGAATTCATTAAAGCATGGCTGAAGAGCATGACAAAGCATTTTAAGAACGAGCGTTATCAGACTTTTTTTAACAGCAGCATCGTGTCTCTCATTACAGACCTCGTTCACACCTGGAACTGACTTCACACAGCTTGTGATCAGATGTAATAGCGGGTGTAAATGTACCTCCTGCCACCTCCAGAGGGCCGTTGCTTTTGCGTAGCTCCAGAACTGCCTCTGCAAACTCCTTTCCTCCGATCTTCTCCAAAGCACTGCCTGAGAGAGACACTGAGCTGTGATGCTGAGCACACGTGTGTTTAAAGCTGCCGTCACTCCAGCGAACCCTAACCCTAACCCAGCGTGTCTGATTTATTACTGAATTGAGCAGTGAGCAGCTCACGATCCGCTGCTTTCATCGTATATAGTATTATAATAAAAGTACGGCGCTTTTATGAAATTGCGATCTAACACTAATTTGCCCTGTTTAGTAAATCTGGCCCTAGGGCAATAAGTTACTTTAATTACTGTAGTTATTACAACTAAAGTTGTACCTGCCGCTGCCGATGGAAGGGAAGGCCACAGATTTGAGCTTCTTCTCATCAGCGAGAGCCAGACAGTTCTTCACCGTCTTATCCAGCATCTCCTCACATTTATCCGAGCCCCAGCCTGGACTGTTACAGTGGATCACGAACTTGGCAGGAAGACCGTATCCTGAGGTCATGGCCGCTGAGGAACAACAAAGATAATGAACTTAAATGACCTTATCAAACATACTGCAACTTATCCACAATTAACAACAACTCCTTAAGATCAACTCTCTTATCTGAATAAAAAAGTAAGCCATGAGAATTCATTAAAGCATGGCTGAAGAGCATGACAAAGCATTTTAAGAACGAGCGTTATCAGACTTTTTTTAACAGCAGCATCGTGTCTCTCATTACAGACCTCGTTCACACCTGGAACTGACTTCACACAGCTTGTGATCAGATGTAATAGCGGGTGTAAATGTACCTCCTGCCACCTCCAGAGGGCCGTTGCTTTTGCGTAGCTCCAGAACTGCCTCTGCAAACTCCTTTCCTCCGATCTTCTCCAAAGCACTGCCTGAGAGAGACACTGAGCTGTGATGCTGAGCACACGTGTGTTTAAAGCTGCCGTCACTCCAGCGAACCCTAACCCTAACCCAGCGTGTCTGATTTATTACTGAATTGAGCAGTGAGCAGCTCACGATCCGCTGCTTTCATCGTATATAGTATTATAATAAAAGTAATATATTTCTTGTCTTGCTTAATATTGTTTTTAAAAATAATAATAAATAAAAAAAAGTCGAGTGACACCAGCTTTAGACACAAGAGCATCTTAATCACAAACAGTGTGCAGAATCACTGCCATGCTTCACAGAGACAGTTCACCCAAAAATACCAATTCTGTCATCATTTCAAATCTAATATCAAATCTATGCATGAATACAACCGCGCTATTTAGACATGTTGCATATATATAGTATTATAATAAAAGTATTATATTTCTTGTCTTGCTTAATATTGTTTTTAAAAATAATAATTTAAAAAAAAGTCGAGTGACACCAGCTTTAGACACAAGAGCATCTTAATCACAAACAGTGTGCAGAATCACTGCCATGCTTCACAGAGACAGTTCACCCAAAAATACCAATTCTGTCATCATTTCAAATCTAATATCAAATCTATGCATGAATACAACCGCGCTATTTAGACATGTTGCATACCTTGTTATTTTCAGTGAGCTAATATTATAAGATGGCATTATTAATATTAATTTTGAGTCAAAGTGGCAGAGCTGTGGTGTTTTCTGCAGAACTGCTCCTTTACCTACTTCACCACCTATGTAGAAGGTGGAGTTGGTCGGGTGAACAACCGCTTCACTTTCGATGCTGGCAATGTCAGCTTGCACAACTTGCAGCTACAACAACAGGCAAACAAATACAGTGAGAGACAAAAGCTGTGGAGAATGAGGTGAAACCATGACGAGTAGACAAAGACCGGTTTGACTGGAAAAGACAAAAGTAAAAAGAAGGAGAAACACAAACACATACATACACGACTGCTGAATCCATTCATGAGATGACTGATCGATCCTAAAAACCTGCTGGGTAAATCTCATCAACCTGTCCTGGTCACACTTTACCACCAAATCGGGAGGAGGTGATATGAAATATACACAGTAGTCAACATCTGAAGTGGATCAAAAAAGTTCATCAAAGTTGTCCTAAGACAAGAGTCCATTTTGGTTTTAGGTTACCTTTGATTAACTTTTTTGATCAACTTCAAATGTTGACTACTGTATACTGAATGAGGAAAGTTTTGTGTACAGTGACTATTTTAACCATCAAAAACACAAAATAATGCATCGAAATTGTCCAGCATGTGCAAAATGGAATAAAAAGAGAGGTAGAATGAGGAGCAATCAGACCAACCTCAACAATGAGTAATTAATGACATTTTAAGGTGATTTTACTCAGACTGGCTAAAACAAATCATAAATTCAATCCCATTTTGGTTTTAGGTTAACTTTGATTAACTTTTTTGATCAACTTCAAATGTTGACTACTGTATACTGAATGAGGAAAGTTTTGTGTACAGTGACTATTTTAACCATCAAAAACACAAAATAATGCATCAAAATTGTCCAGCATGTGCAAAATGGAATAAAAAGAGAGGTAGAATGAGGAGCAATCAGACCAACCTCAACAATGAGTAATTAATGACATTTTAAGGTGATTTTACTCAGACTGGCTAAAACAAATCATAAATTCAATCATTAGTAATATGATTTAAAGGTTTATCAATTTTGACCAATAGGTGGCACCGTTACCAAATTGATGTGTTGTGGTATTTTCTGTGTTCTGTGGTGTTCTCGCCATTATCCAAGGAAAGTCTCATGCCAATAGGCAAAGTTAATCAAAAGTTATAATAATTTTTTTAATTTCATTATCATTTTTGACCAATAGGTGGGGCTTCCACAAAACTTAATGAGTACCATCAGGGTATGGTGCTGAAAACACATACACATGTTATTTTGTAACGATAAGCCAATGAGTTTGTAAAATCTTGCATTTTGCGACAAAATTCTAAATGGCTGACACTAGAAATGGTGGACATGGGAAAATTGGGTACCATTCTGCCTCTCCGAATGTCTTGTGACCAGTCTTGTGATTTTGGGCCAAACCGTTAAGAAGTTATTTGCAAAAATAGCCATTTTTCACATCTTCTGACCACTAGGTGGCACTGTGCCAAAACGGTGCAGGTACTCTCAGGTCATGGTTATTACAACACCCACCAAGTTTTGTTTGAATACGCTAAAGCGTTGCAGAGATATAGCCTTATGTCCACTTTGGAGAGCTCTTCGACAAATTTGTTCACGCTCATTCAGAAATGGTTTGACTGATCAACTTGATTTCCATGTTTTTTAAATGACATGGTCTGAAGCTGATATGGTTAGATTTTCATGAAAATTTGAGTTCTAAGAAGAGTTCGTAAAAAGACAAATACTAAATTGTGGGAAATGACGGCATTGGGTGTTTTAGGGTGTGACTATAGGACGCATTTTGTTTTTAGCCCTAATGGTTCAAAAGTTATTAGCACAAATGTAAGTGCAGCTTTGAGCAGTTGGTGGCGCTAGAGGGTTTGAGTTAGAGACTCCAAATTTGGTGTGCTACATTTTGAGACTGTCCTTTATCTGTGTGCCAAATTTCATAATTACTTACCATACGGTTCTATGGGCGGCCATAGACTCAAGAGCGGAAGAAGAAGAAGAAGACGACGACGACACAATAGGTGCATACGCACCTTTGGTTCTTGGCCGCTAATTACAAAACCATGACAGTAATGAGAATGAGATTTATTGATTTCATTACAGTTTTGGGGTGGATTCTACCAGATAATTGGATCATTATTGTTTTCTTTTGATTTCGGGGGGGGAAATGTGACCTGGACGTGTGAGTTTAGCCCATCTACCAGTTAAAGACCCTGGAAATGTGATTGAATATGGACAAAACTGACCATGTTGGCTTTAACCAGAGTTCTGTTCACATGGATTTCCAGGCAGCCAAAAACTGCCATATTAGACTCAGATGTGAACTGCTGGATCCATAAAAGCAGATCTACAGCATCTGAATGAACATGAGTCTTCATGGCAGCTATAAGCGCTCACCTAAATCATCTTTAAGGTCAAAGTCAGCATTGGTGGGGTTGATAACCCCTTCCACGTAATCTGTGTGCCAAATTTCATAATTACTTACCATACGGTATGGGCGGCCATAGACTCAAGAGCGGAAGAAGAAGAAGAAGACGACGACGACACAATAGGTGCATACGCACCTTTGGTTCTTGGCCGCTAATTACAAAACCATGACAGTAATGAGAATGAGATTTATTGATTTCATTACAGTTTTGGGGTGGATTCTACCAGATAATTGGATCATTATTGTTTTCTTTTGATTTCGGGGGGGGAAATGTGACCTGGACGTGTGAGTTTAGCCCATCTACCAGTTAAAGACCCTGGAAATGTGATTGAATATGGACAAAACTGACCATGTTGGCTTTAACCAGAGTTCTGTTCACATGGATTTCCAGGCAGCCAAAAACTGCCATATTAGACTCAGATGTGAACTGCTGGATCCATAAAAGCAGATCTACAGCATCTGAATGAACATGAGTCTTCATGGCAGCTATAAGCGCTCACCTAAATCATCTTTAAGGTCAAAGTCAGCATTGGTGGGGTTGATAACCCCTTCCACGTAAAAGGCAGTTAGGTTAGTGATCTGACTGAATGAGATTGAGCTGTGGAGAGATCATGCAGCAGGATGGAGAGAGATCAGGACAGAGTACAGCAGAGGCGTTACACAGCAGGCCACACGCTACAAACAAAACTCTAAATGTCTTACATCAGTTTCCATGAAAGCTGCACAGAATAATGTTTGCTGGACAGCGTGACAGTGGGCTTCTTTGCACGTTTATGACACAAACTGACAGTAGAAACACTCTGTATTTGCCTTACTGTGTGTGTCAGTCAATGTGTTGTGCTTAACCGTAAGAGGTCACACTAAACATTGCATTAGCTGTTTTGTTTTGATTTATTTCTGATGAAAATACAACTTCCAAAAGATCTCCATTACGCTACTTTTTAAAACATTTTACAAATGAGCTTAAGGCTTTAATAGCTTTGATCAGAAACACTAGAATATAGAAATAACGTTTACTGTTCCATCAGATCACATTGCAAAAAAGCGAAGCTCTTCCTCAGTATTTTGTCTTGTTTTCCAGTGCACGTCTAAAGATTCTTAAATCAAGATACAGATGCAAAATTACATTAGATAAGAAGTCTTATTTTCTTGAGAAACTGATCAAAATTACATGAGTTTGTTTAAAACAAGAACAAATATCTGCCAATAGGCCCAGAAAAATCAACTTAATTCAAAGAAAACAAGTTTCCTATTGAACGGTCTCTCCCATTGCATTGAACGCTTATGGGGGTAAACTCCTGTTTACTCTGATACTGAAGTCTGATTTGTTCACATTTGTGTAGCTGCACAAACAAATGGTGCTTCAGTCTGCCAAATGGGTGGAGCCGACCGCTATATGAGTCAGCTCTGAGCGCCATTCGTCAGAATTTTCTCCTTTAGCACAAAGATCATCTCCTCGATGGACTCTGAAGCAAGAAGCTCAAAGCCTGCTGCTCGCCATAGAAGAGCAATGAACGATTTTTTTTATGCGAACTGGAGGAGAATGCGGTCACTGATGACTCTATATTCACTGACAGCTTCAGATTTAGAGGATTGGGCATATTCCGGAGAGGATCCTGGCACCCTTCTCCCCAATCGGCAGGGCCTTGGCCAGATTGGTCTTGCGTGGATTTGAAGGAGATCAAGGACTCCTTCCTCGACTCCCGTCTCCACTAAAAGGTTATGCAGCCTCGTCACAGACATATTTGCAAAGCACTTCACTGCAGCACAGAAGTCGTCGCAGGTCATGCGCTACTTCCCGCCTAAGTGCTCCAGCTCTGCAGCTTGTTCAGGTAGCCAAAAGGCTCCGTCTTCCAAGCAGCCTGCAAAGCCCTCACTGTCTCCAGCTCAGCCTCGGTTAAAATCAGGGCCTGGGCTCCGACAGCCCTCAGACGGCTAAACACTATCACTTTTCCTAAGCGCCAGGGACCGCGGGAATGGCATTGGACCCTGAGCCACAGAAGCCATCTTAATCTCTATGCAGAGAGGAAAAAGAGGAGGGCCAGGTCCTGCCGAGGCCGTACCGCCCAAAAAGAAGTCTCGTGCTCACATTCCAGTTCCCTGTTTAGTTCCGGGCGAAGCATTGTTCATGCTGGGCACGTCTTTCACACTCAGCACATGCCCGAGCAAATTACTGCTGTAATAGCAAACCCACATACTCAAAGAACAATACCACAAATGTCAATTCCCTGCCTCCTTGCAGCAACCTGCCACTCGGGAATCTCAGACCACTTGCTGCCCCGCTCCAGTCACGAAGCAGAGACTAACTTGCTGGACAGCTGACGCTATAGCCCTGGCTTACACCTCAGTGGGCTCACAGTGTCCTATTGGAGTGAGAACCCAGAACCCAGTGGAGTTCAATTGGTAATATCTGTGCCGCAGCTGGCTGGTCTTCCCATCTGCCTTATCCAGATTTTATAATTTGGATGTCCCTGCCCTACAGGCATGGATTTTGCCTTTTAGGAGCCCTCATTACCGGCATTCTGGGGCTGAGCTCGCAGAGCGGCTTCGTTCTGCACTTGCTTATAGCACAGCGCTATTGGATGCGTTCCCATAATCGTTCAACGCAACAGGTTGAACGGTCACTAGTGTGATCTTGGGAACGAGTGCTGCATACGCCGCTGTGCTATAAGGCTGCATGCAAGTCAACAAAGATTTTGGCGAATGGCACTCAGAGCAGACTTATATAGCAGTCAGCTCCACCCGTTTTGGTAGGCTGAAGTGCCATTTGTTCGTGCAGCTACACGAACGTGAACAAATCAGGCTTCAGTATGAGAGTAAACAGGAGTTTACCCCTATAAGTGTTCAACACAATGCTCGTTCCCTTATCTCACGGAACCGAGGTTACGTTAGTAACCGGAGCATTTTAATTCCCCGTTGACAGACATTTGTTCTTGTTTTAAGCATAAACTCACTTCATTTTGTTCAAATTCTCAGAAAACAAGAATTCATATCTTAAATTTTCATCCCAAGTAAATAGGCCATTCAGTGTCGACTCTACCAGAGGTCCCTGTCTCAGATATTTGATTTAGTTTTTTGTTTTTCCTGGTGAGAAAAATACAAATATCATCATTTATTTCTTTGTTGGTGGAGGAGTGATGACGGCTTCGAGCTTTGCTTTCGATCCTCTCTTCTTAGACAGCAGCTCTGGGTGGATGTTGGGCAAAACTCCTCCGGCAGCGATGGTGACGCCCCTCAGCAACTGCACCAGCGTTAAACAGAGACAGGAACACATCTTTGCACCATAAAACACACCTGATCAAGATAAACATGATTTCATCGTCTTTCATTCCAGAAGCACGGATCATGAGGCAGTGAATGAGTCTGTGCGTTTCAGGAGCAGGAACGTCAGAGCCAGTCTGCAGGTTTCGGTTGGTCTGAGTTGACAGATTTCACAGAAAATCACGTAGTGTATGATGGACACTGACTTTAGCATTCAGACTGTGACTCCATCCAGTCTGAGGTTTTCAAACATGTCTGGTATTTTGAGCCAATTTTAGCCAATACTTATTCTAGCACTGAAACACGAGTTTGTTGTGAGAGTCTGATAGCGTGTGATCCTCAGTCGTTTAGCGCATGTCCAGTTTTTTCTCTGGCATTATCTAGAAAGTTGTCAGGTGTAGATCCATTTCCAAAATTATTACAACATTACATCAAAAACACTCCTTTTTTTTTCAATAGAAGCCTGTGATTTTTGCATATGCGTGGTTTGAGAATATTTGATCCTGAACTTGTTACCTGATGAAGCTCCTCATCATTGGCGATGGCTAGTAAAATGTGTCTGGGTGTGACGCGGCCCTTCTTATTGTCTCTGGCTGCATTGCCTGCCAGCTCCAGGATTTCAGCTGAAAGCACCATGCATGAAGAGCTTCAAGAGGACAGAAAGGCTTCTGATGCAGAGCATCGATATAGATGGATACAGATGCATCGTACCTGTCAGGTACTCCAGTACTGCAGCCATGTAGACTGGAGCTCCAACACCAATCCTGTATTTGGGAAGCCCTCTTTTAATATAGCGCAGCATCCGTCCCACAGGGAAGATCACACCAGCCTTAGCAGACCTGGACGTCTTGGAGATCTTCTTCTTCCCACCTCGACTGGCTTCTTTGTTGGTGGAGGAGTGATGACGGCTTCGAGCTTTGCTTTCGATCCTCTCTTCTTAGACAGCAGCTCTGGGTGGATGTTGGGCAAAACTCCTCCGGCAGCGATGGTGACGCCCCTCAGCAACTGCACCAGTGTTAAACAGAGACAGGAACACATCTTTGCACCATAAAACACACCTGATCAAGATAAACATGATTTCATCGTATTTCATTCCAGAAGCACGGATCATGAGGCAGTGAATGAGTCTGTGCGTTTCAGGAGCAGGAACGTCAGAGCCAGTCTGCAGGTTTCGGTCAGTCTGAGTTGACAGATTTCACAGAAAATCACGTAGTGTATGATGGACACTGACTTTAGCATTCAGACTGTGACTCCATCCAGTCTGAGGTTTTCAAACATGTCTGGTATTTTGAGCCAATTTTAGCCAATACTTATTCTAGCACTGAAACACGAGTTTGTTGTGAGAGTCTGATAGCGTGTGATCCTCAGTCGTTTAGCGCATGTCCAGTTTTTTCTCTGGCATTATCTAGAAAGTTGTCAGGTGTAGATCCATTTCCAAAATTATTACAACATTACATCAAAAACACTCCTTTTTGTTTTCAATAGAAGCCTGTGATTTTTGCATATGCGTGGTTTGAGAATATTTGATCCTGAACTTGTTACCTGATGAAGTTCCTCATCATTGGCGATGGCTAGTAAAATGTGTCTGGGTGTGACGCGGCCCTTCTTATTGTCTCTGGCTGCATTGCCTGCCAGCTCCAGGATTTCAGCTGAAAGCACCATGCATGAAGAGCTTCAAGAGGACAGAAAGGCTTCTGATGCAGAGCATCGATATAGATGGATACAGATGCATCGTACCTGTCAGGTACTCCAGTACTGCAGCCATGTAGACTGGAGCTCCAACACCAATCCTGTATTTGGGAAGCCCTCTTTTAATATAGCGCAGCATCCGTCCCACAGGGAAGATCACACCAGCCTTAGCAGACCTGGACGTCTTGGAGATCTTCTTCTTCCCACCTCGACTGGACATGATGCCTGAGGAACAAACATGATGAAGTTTCCCTGCCCTGTCCATGCATTTCAGCAAAGCATGCTGGCACAAAGAATAAGTTATTTTTGTGCTAATCTAATTATGATATATTCTGTGAATGATGCATATGCTTTATATGTCATCAGTCAGTATATCAGAGACTGCAGTAGATGTTAAGCAACAATTAGATCAAACACATCCACTTTTTCTGAGTGAACGAGATCATCAGCGCACAAATATGATTCTGTATTTTATTCTGACATGAACGCATCTGAACACAGTTTGTGCATGTGACAAGTTAGTTGGCAGCGACAATAAAAAGTAGCATTGCAACATCAGCATTAAAAAAAACTGACGACGCTCTAAATGAACATGCTGCTGAGTATTTCGTGTCGATGTGCTTCAGTGAGCGCAGAGCGATGCTTCCGCGGGTTTAATGCATCATATTTCTCAGATGTGGTGACTTCCTGATGAAGCGACGCGGCCCGCAGACGCGCAGGAATCGCGCAGGACTCACCGAAACGCGTGGATGACGGCGGAAGGCTTACAGTAGAGAGCACGGTGAGGCGTCGCGTCGCGTCGCGTCGCGTCGCGTTCAGTCCAGCACTGCTAAAGCCTGACAAGCCCAGGCAACGTCCCAGACACCCACAATCCACAGCGCGACTGAGAAGCAGAGAGCCGTCTGTCAGCAGAGGCCGCTGGAGGGTCAACTTTATAGAGTTATGTAAGCATGACATCTGCTGGAAAAAAAGCCTCTGGGTTTTAAGAACATTTTGGATAAAAACTGTTGATAAAATATGCATTATATTTCCAAGGCCCAGTTGTACAAAATACATTTGATCAGATTTGAGCTATCATATTAGATGTGAAAAGGGATTGTTAAACAAAATAAAACGGTATCAAATGTATCCGTATAGATCATTTCAAACAACACTCAGTATGTGTTGTTTGAAATGATTTATACGGATACATTTGATCCAAAAAAATCTGGATTATCCAGATCCCACAATATTTGTATCATGTAGTATAGACCAGATACCTTTAATATTTAGTACTTGATTTGTTTAACCATTACAGTGATAGAGTAGAAGAAGGAAAACATTATTTTGTCCGCATAAAATAACCCCCCAAACAGCTGTCAATTTCAAACACAAATAATAGTTTTAATTTGAATGGTCATGATTGTATTATTAATTACAGTGACGATCATCAGAGATTATGCAGTCATATATGAATTTGTTTTGATTTATTTGTTGTGAGTCAGATGAGGATCTTAAGTGAATATTTGTGATCTTTTATCTGTTTTCTGTCTCTGATCCAGTGGGTAACTTTTTTAGGGAGACCTAACCCTAACCCTATCTAGTCTCGACACCCACCGGTGAAAACGCTGTGTGAGTAACACAAACTCAGGTGAAACACAGTGACACCTCTTACAAAACAGTTACTAATCTTTTAAATAAATCCTGGCTAAAACCAGATGATTGCATTACTTTAAATGAGTCTGCCCCAAGATTACTGTTATAAACATGAGCCGCGTCTAAAAGGTAAAGGTGTTGCTACAATTTATAACAATATTTTCAGTATTTCTCAGAGGACGGGCTTCAAGTATAACTCGTTTGAAGTAATGGTGCTTCATATAACATTATCCAGAGAAACCAGTGTTAATGATAAATCCCCTGCGATGTTTGTACTGGCAACTGTAGACAGGCCACCATACAGACTTTATCAAAGAATTTGCTGATTATGAGTTAGAGCTGGCTGTAGATAAAGTCTTAATTGTTGGTGATTTTAATATCCATGTTGATAACTTGATGATGTATCAGAAACTATGGACTCTCTCTTTTCTAACATTTTAGATATGGTTGCTCCTTTACGCTTAAGGAAGATTAAGGAAAACAGTCTGACACCGTGGTGTAATGAGCACACTCGCACCCTAAAGAGAGCAGCCCGGAAAATGGAGCGCAGCTGGAGGAAAACAAAACTAGAGGTATTTCATATTGCATGGTAGGAAAGTACCATATCCTGCCATGCAATAGGAAATGATTCCAACGATATTGATTCTCTGTGCCTTTATCGTTATAGTTGTGGTGTGAACTCTGCTATTCTTTAATATTGAGAATGATTTTTAGAACTTTATTGTTATCTTTATAGTTATCGTGCTTGGTGTGAACGGGCCTTAACACTGTAAAGCTGCACACAGACACACACTCACACACACACACACACACACTCTCACACACACACAATAAAGTTTAAAGTCAAAAAAAGGTATTCAAGTTAAAAGGCCCGTGTTCTTCACAGCAGAACGTCTGTCTGATGTTTCAGGGCCCTGAAACTCTTGAAATGAATGTCCTAAATGCAGAGCTAATGTAAGGCTCCAGTAAGACGATCAGCTAATCATCACATCACGAATACATCTCTCTGTGGGTAATTACTATTTCTGTCATAACGATATGTTATAAAAAATATCATTCTCTGCTGCAATCATTTAGCAGGATGGTGTCAGCTGACCAGCGGTGGACCAATCACAGATCAGCTCGCGACGCTGTAAACAGCCGCGGCCGCGCGGAGCCACTGACAGATGCGCGGAGCTGCAGACACACAGCATGGCCGGAGTGAGTCTCTGCACTTTATAACTCTCTGCACTTCATTCTGCTGCTTTAGGTCAGTTGTTTGGGTTTGTTCTGCGTGACCGACGCTTCAGTGTAACGCGTTTGTAACAGCATTAGTTCGAGATCATCAGCAGCGCTACAGTGTTACATTCCAAATGTTTCGCTCTGCTTGTTCTGAACCCGACCGAAGTTTGCGAAGAAACGAGACACATCAGCGCAGTGTAGTTTAAAGCAGAACTTCAGACGCGAACGATGTTTACTTGTTTACGTGTTTGTTGACATTTGATCAGTGAAAACAAACATCAGACAAAGAAGAACTCTATAACACAATCACGCAATAGTTGAACTTATATATCCTCAACTTATATATCCTCAGTTACAATTGTACCATCTCCAGTAACTGGTTAAATAACAGAAGTGCCATTCGTACTGTACAGTGACTGCATGCTACAGTTTATCAAAAATTTAAATAAGTAATTAAAATGGGTTAGTGCGAGTATCAAATGTGGTCAATTTTTTGAAATATTTGGCTGAGATACAACTATTTGAAAATCTGGAATCTGAGGGTGCAAAAACATCTAAATATTGAGAAAATCATCTTTAAAGTTGTTCAAATGAAGCTCTTAGCAATGCATATTACTAATCAAACATTAAGTTTTGATATATTTATGGTAGGAGATTTACTAAATATCTTCATGGAACATGATCTTTACTTAATATCCTAATGATTTTTGGCATAAAAGAGAAATGTATAATTGTGACCCATACAATGTATTGTTGGCTATTGCTACAAATATCCCCCAGCGACTTAACACTGCTTTTGTGCTGCAGGGACACAAATCACAAATACTGCATCTAACGAACCTGCTCCTAACGAGGGAGAAGCTTTAAGGGCTGTCTGCATTAAAACCTTGTTGGTGTAACATTTGAAAATTATCAAATTAAAAATGGAAATATTAATATTATAATTTTATGTTGTTGTACTATAAAATAAAGTAAGTGTAAAGTACTTTCCATAAGTGTAAAGTAGATGTTAATTAAAATCCGTATGTTTCTGAGTACGCAAAGAAAACGAGCCCAAACCCGTGCTGTGAGTGCAGCGAATAGGATGAAGTCGACAAATAATAAAGAATAAGTGATTTGATATTTTGAATTGAATGTAATTTGGCTGGGGTTAAATAAGGATTTGATCATGCTGTAAAAAAGTCTAAAAATACTATTCGCATTCATCCACATAAATACTATTATAGAGAAGATTCAAACTTTTACTCGTGCAAATTTTACTGATGAGTTCTTGCTAGGGCTGGGAAATATGTTTAATATTCATGCTACACGTGCAGTTATTTCAATGTTATTAAACAACATTAAAGATAACATTGAATGATTTTAAGGGATTTATTATTATCCCAGTTTTCTATAAACCTTGTCATTACACAGATTTCACAATCCTTTCTTGTAAAAGGCATCTTTTAGTAATGTCTGATTAAAAAATGAAAAGATTCAATTATTATTAGATTTGGTAAGTTCAAATCAATTCTACACCGCAAAAAAATATTTTCTCAGCACCTCTGTCTTATTTTCTTCTAGTATAATAATCTAAGCGTTCTTGAATCAAGATGCATTTACTTGAGAAGAAAATGAATTCAGAAATTAAGTCTTGTTTTCTAAAAACAAAAACATCTAAAATTTGTTTGTTTTTTGCCAACAACAACAAAAATATCTACAAATGGAGAAAGAGAAAAACATCTGAATTCAAAGATAAAACAAGATCATTTTTCTTACCCAACGTTGGCAGATATTTTATCTTGTTTTAAGCAAACACTAAAAATATTTAGCTAATTTTTCTCAGAAAACAAGACTTGATATCTTCAGTCAGTTAGCTTCGGAAGTAAATGCAAGAATGTTCAGATATTTGTACTGGACAACAATATGTTTGCAGTGTATTAATGCCTTTCAGAGAATCAAAACTAATTCAGTGTTTTGCACCATCACTCAAAATATTGATGTATTTTTCATTTAATTATACTATTATTATACCAGCTGGCCGTCCATTGACTGCTGTATATCCCAAGGTCCTATCATAACAGTTTAGCTGAATGAAAATATTGCCCTATAAAATCATAACTGCTGCTTTTTCTGATAACCGTGTCAGTACTGATAATAATTTCAGCACACTTTGCATGAATTCAGATTACACAGCATATATAATCTTAACACGTCAGTCATAAATACTTGCGTGTTTAGACTGTATAGTGTGTAATAATGTCTGTCTGTTGCACAGAAACGGAATAATGTTCTGTTTATGAGTTCAGAGTTCAGTGATGATATGGTCTGATAAAATGAATCTATACACGGCTGAACTTCTGATGAACTAGAGTAACCCAGGTGAACTTCAGCATGTGACTGTGCTTCGAACACTGCGTCCGAGTATGCATACTTCTCAGTTCATTAAATGAGTACTAGGTGTGTGCGATAATGACAAAATTATTTTCTGAATTTCTGACTGATATTCTTCATTCTGTGCAGGGGTTAGTTTGCAGGAGTAACAGAAACAAACTTTTCTGATACATTTAAATAGATTTTTTTATGGGCATTTGTACCTTTATAAGGCCAATTATTCAAACCTAATTAAATGTATGCATCCTATTTTGTGTCGAATTCTTACATTCGATCAATAAAATCAAATCAAATAGTAAGACACTATAGGGCTGTTACCAGACAAATGAGATCAGTATCAGTATCTGAAGTGGCGTTTAGATGCAATCTGACTGTTTAATGCAGCACATGAATGCAGTTAACCTGCGGTTACAAATGCGTAATGTTTTGATGTTTTAAAAACTAAAAGTTGAATACTGACATTTCAAAATGATTTAAAAAAGAGAGAGAGAGAGAGGAAACTATAAATATACATAATACATTTTTTAAAATATTAATATTTGCTCCATATAAAATTAAAATCGCCAGTAGGTGGCGGCAAGTCACTGCATGAGTGAGTCATCGAGTCGATTCGTTCAAACGGCTGATTGATTCATTAAGGAAACTATTTTCACTGGTGAGCAAAAACAGATACTGTTGTGTCTAAAATATAAGTCACTCTGTATTAACCTCTTGTTTATTGAACTGTTCGACAAACCAATGCCACGTTTGCAGATATATGGAGAAAAAAACTGGCATTCTTTGTGTGAAACTGATTACAAGACCAAGTCATACAGGGGCATTTTTGCCCCAATATCTTGAATGTTGGGTGAATTCTAAATGTATTTGAATGAAAAAGTGTGAATTCTAAATGCACAACACAGCAGTCTACCGTACATCAGCCAGCGTATGCCTGCACTCTCTGGGTGCGTTTTTGTTTGGTTTTTGATATGTCTTCATAATGTCTGATCACACATCACTAAAACAACAATTATATCACACAGCCCTAAAGAGTAGTGCGTCTGAATTCAAAAAAGTAAATGAAAATGACCCGTATGACCTGCTGAATTGCAATATATATCTCTGTATTTGTATTTTTTTTTTAACGTTTTTTTAGATCCTGCCCAATGTTTAGTGAAACAAATGTTTATATTATAGGCTATGAAAACAAATAAAGTGAAAGTAATCATGCAAAAAATTGTAAAAATCACATTACATTCTGTAACATTAGTCTAAAAACAAAAGCATGGATTAATTGCATTATATTTGGATTACCCCAAAACAGTCCATCATAAAAATGATATCGTATCATAGTCTATCGTAGCGCTATCATAAAAAATACACTTACTTGTAAGTTTAAAATTCTACACATGACACATTTGTTGTCCAACTACAGATATTTTAGCTAAATGAATCATCCACTCCTGACAGCAGAATGGAAATATTTAAACGATGTTTTAGATCCTGCCCAATGTTTAGTGAAACAAATGTTTATATTATAGGCTATGAAAACAAATAAAGTGAAAGTAATCATGCAAAAAATTGTAAAAATCACATTACATTCTGTAACATTAGTCTAAAAACAAAAGCATGGATTAATTGCATTATATTTGGATTACCCCAAAACAGTCCATCATAAAAATGATATCGTATCATAGTCTATCGTAGCGCTATCATAAAAAATACACTTACTTGTAAGTTTAAAATTCTACACATGACACATTTGTTGTCCAACTACAGATATTTTAGCTAAATGAATCATCCACTCCTGACAGCAGAATGGAAATATTTCCGTGACTTTCTAACATTTACAGATGGAGACTATAGCTGTGCTACTGATAATATACAGGTGTAATATACCGCCGAGCCCTAGTTCATGTTGACAAGCTGTTTCAAACCACTGAAACAAACTTGATATTGCCCAGATTTTGAGCTCTAGAACACCCTGGAGTCACGGTGCATCACATCTAGTGAAAGTACAGCTGTGATTGAAGTGCTGTTGTGAACGGTCTCCCGACAGGTGGATGCGGCGCGGTTACGGCACGCGGTGAAGACGGTGCTCTTTAACCAGGTGTGTCTGTCTGGTCCTGTGGTGGTGCTCACCTACATGGTGATGAAGAGGCGAGGCGAGCCGTGCGGCCCGGAGCTGCCCACCTTCCACTGGGTGCTGCTGGAGCTGGCCGTCTGCGGCCTGATGGAGGAGATACTCTTCTACTACACACACAGGTTAGCATTCAGAAAACACTCACTCCGTTTCTGATGACACAGTGCTGCATGTCCACCAGGCGAGGTGTGCAAGTAAGTGGTGCGCAGGTGGAATGGGTAAATGCGTTCAGATTTGCATACTGAGATGGTTGACAGCTGTTAATGCACAAGCAATGTTTTAGATTGACTGACTGTAACACTGTAAGATTTCCATTCCAACTGAAAGCATGAATCTTTTCTACGTGCCGGTTTCAGAGGAAAACACAAAACTGTGACTAAAACTGGCAGTGCATATATTAACTTACTGGACAAAATGAACACAGAAATAACAGATAATGTAACTATAAAATCATTTACATTTGATTTAATACTCACTTTTTATTTTAAAATGGAGTAGTAGTAGTATTGCACTTTATTTATTATTTTGCTTACTATTTTATATTTTAAAAAATAATATGCAATAATACTGTTATTATAATCTCCAGGTGTTCTCATGAGAACCAGACTGAAAAACGTATGTGCGTTCGTGTTTCCAGTATAAGATCACTATTTATAAAATCTGTTTAAGCCAGCAAAAAAACAGTTTGTGCTTCCAGTCATAAAAAAAGTGATGGAAACCATTGTGGCTTTGTTTTTTGTAAATTCAGAAGAAATAAAAACACTTAGTGGTTTACCAAAAGCGTTTGTGGAATGTGTTGGATATAGAACACTGCTTGTGAGCGGTGAAGCTCAGCCTCAGTCATCACTCGTCTGCTGCTTTCAGGCTCGTTCACCATCCGTCGCTCTATAAGAGCATCCATAAGATCCATCACGAGTGGACGGCTCCTGTTGGAGTGGTGGCGCTCTACGCTCATCCGGTGGAGCATGTGGTGAGATCCGTCGACCTGTCAGAGATGCAGTCAGATGTGGGACAGATGTGTTGAAAGCCTTCATGTCTTCCTGTCTGTACAGCTGTCGAACATGCTCCCGGCTCTGATGGGTCCGATTCTGCTGGGCTCACACGTCTCCACCACCAGCCTGTGGTTCACCATCGCTCTGCTGGTCACTACGGTCTCTCACTGCGGCTACCACCTGCCCCTGCTGCCCTCGCCCGAGTTCCACGACTACCACCATCTCAAGTAAGTCCGGGCCTCAATATCAAGAGTCTACACAAAGAAGGCTTGAGGTGAGGTGAACCAGTCCTGGGACTGCGGTGAGTTTCCATGCACCATGCAATAGCGAGTTATAAAGCCAGAATCATATGATAAAGTCACAGTTGCTTTATAAAGTCAGAATTGCATGATATGAAGCCGGAATTTCATGATATTATGTGTTTCTATCATGAAATTTAATTGTGTGATAAAATGTCACAAATTATATCTTTTAATATTTTTTATTCAGTGGCGGAAATGGGCTTCCATACACACATATACATATATGCTGCATAGATATATTCTCCTCTCTCTAAGTCTCATCATTGTTCAGTGTTTGGGCAATCTTTTGCCATGAATTATAACTCACATAGACATCTTTATAATATTTTAGGCTAGAGTTGGCTCTTCACACAATCTCTCAACCCTGCAGGCATGCATTGGGCTTATTTTGCATGTGTTTGGTCTCTTCAGTTTTTTTTTCTGGCTATCTTGGGACATTGTACAAGTACTGCAAAACAATTAAAAGCGCATGAGCCACCTTCCTGTTACAAAAACCATGTGATGCACGTACAAAACTGCTGATGAAATCTACATGTTGCGTAAAAACTAAAAGCAAAGTATACTTGGGTTAAAAGTGACGGAGGCCGGGGGTGTTTGTTACACAGTTTTTCTCACTTTTAATAATTTCCTCACATTTATCTGCTTCAAATGAAGGCTGTTTGGAAATCAACAACTGTGTGAATTAAAGTCACATACAGAGAGTGCAGTTACAGTCTTCTCAACAGCAGGTGAAGGTTTTACATTTTTAGTCTACATTTTGCACGTTTCATTTTTTTCTAAAACAGCAAGCAATTAAAAGGTATTGAATAAATAAATAAGAGGCTAACTGAAAAAATACATGACAGACAGTGTGAGTGAGTGAGCGAGTGTGTGAGTGTGCGCGTGAGTGAGTGTGTGTGTGTGTGTGTGAGTGAGCGAGTGAGTGTCTGTGTGTGTTGTTGATTTTTACAGTAGGATCAAATGTTGCCTTACACATTGTAGCATTCTGTCTGCAGAAGTGAATGGGGAGCGTTGTGTTACATTGTTCAGCAGTGATGTTGTGACATTTAGGTGATAGTTTAGAGTACATGTTAAGTATAAAAGTAAATAAGAGACATTTGCTGATTCACACGACACATTTAACATGCATTAACCTCATCACAAATCAAATGATATCCCAATTAAACCATTTTTTCTTTCCTTTAAATCCAATATACATACAAGCTTGTATCAAATTTCTACCCATTTAGCTAACTATATGAAGGAGACCAGCTCCAAGCCTAACCAAACATCTGAAGCAACAGATCAAGGTCATCAGGATGACTAAACCAAGCGTTTCATAATGCAGGACCAGGGGAAATCTGTCAACCTTGCTCTACATTCACCTCACGAGTGACCTTTATTCTCAGGAGATAACAGCCAAACTCTGGCCATAGCTCTTTGAACATTTCATAGGTCTCCATGTGATATCGATGAAGATCATGTAACAGAGCAGACTCTGATAGCAGGGGTTCCTCATAGGAAGCATTGCTTACCTGCTGATGTATCTCAGACAACAGCTATGAAGATTACGTGAGTGCATTCAAAGCATCTCCGCCGTGAAAAGTGCACATGATCTGCAAATTCTGTCACCAGCGTATCGCTTCATATCAAACCGGTTTGCAGTGCAGCCAGCTTATTACTTAGTAAATGGATCGCCTCTTCATTTTGGACGTGCAAAACATTTATCAGCAACACAAGAAAGATGTTCCTCAAAACAACATGGGCTTTCTTTGACATTTGAATCACTTGTCTATAACTGTAAATCTGCTTTGAAACAAGCTGTATAGTATAGCACCTCCTACTGTATAACATTGAAGACAGAGAAAGCCTGAAACTTCTGTCTACCGCAGGGAAAGAGTTCAATATGAGCTCAGCGTGTGGTAGTGAACCCCAGACCAGGGGTTTTTGAACTATTCCTGGATGTATCCAAAACGATGAAGAGGCTGCAGAAAGAGTGTGGCAAAGCCTTGTTATTCTGACTGAACGGGGCAGGTTGTTTCTCGAGCGCGGTCTAAAACCAGCTGTGTTTCTCTCCAGGTTCAATCAGTGCTACGGAGTGCTGGGAGTGCTGGACAGGCTTCACGGGACGGACGAGAAGTTTCGTAATGCTAAAGCGTACGAGCGGCACACGGTCCTGCTGGGTTTGACCCCGCTGAGCGAGAGCATCCCTGACCATCCCAAGAAAGCACAGGAATAACCGCGCTTCACTTCATTCCATGAACATAAACACTACATGAACTGATCAGCAGGTCTAATGGATCTCAAACGACCCGCTGACATGCAGAGACCCTGTTCATGAGGTTATCAGTTCCTTTTATTGTTCATCTTCTGTGTCACTTCTCATATTGTGTCAGAATAGTATTATTGCACATTTATGCAGAGGATCAAAATGATTTTAATTCTGTATTTTAGCACTGAAATCTACTAATGGTTTTTGGAAATGAACATTGTACTCTTTCTGTCCCCTGATCATTCCTGACATCAGTTTCTGTAGTTTATCATCAAACCTCTCATTAAAGCTGATCTGCTGTACCGGGTGTGTTTGCATTATTAATAATTCTAATGCACATCTCAAATTCCTAAAATTACATTTAAAAAAACAAAAACAAAGAATTGTTCTGGTGGAGGACAGAAGACAGTAATATGCGTCACCCAGCACCAGTCCTCCCAATCTGAAGTGACATCTCTGAATAACAGCCGCACTGTTGAGAGAACCAGCAGTATCTACAAACCCAAGCCTTTTCTTATTAATATTGTCGTAATTGCTGTCGAGAGGCTGCATGAAATGTCAGTGCCTGAAGATGTGAAACACATTGACCTATCCACTCTCCCCTACTCTAAGATGTCCATCGTGTGATTGACCTTCTTTTACACGTGTAGGTAATGATGATTTCAAGGTGAATGGTTGTCCTGTTCCTGCAGTATCTGACGGCGTCAGTTATCTGGAGTCTCTCACACCTAAACACCAAAGGAAAACCAATTCTGCCTGAAAAAAAAGACACGTCAGGGACTTGTATTCCTCTGGGATAAACTCAAATCATGACAAAATCGGTGCCAAACTAGAAATGCAACGTCCCACAGACAACAGGAGTAAATGTGCAAAGGCTACAGTTGACTATGTAGGGAAGTTCATTACACATCTCACTACACACGAGAAAACAAGTTTCCATAAAACAACAGACTGTGAGTGACAACAGCTGAAATAGTTCTGACCTCCAACAAAGAACACCAAGGTGTCTACAGGACCAGTGTTGAGGGTAACGCATTACAAGTAACGCAAGTTACATAATCATATTTATCTTTTCAAATAACTAGTAGAGTAACATTACTTCTTAATTTACAAGAGAATATCGGAGTTACTTTTTCAAATCAGTAGCTCCAGTTACTTTGTTTCCATGTGTTGAGTGACAGCTCTAGTGTTGCCGTGGTGACAGAAATCAGGAGTCAGTGCAGAGCGTTGTGTGTGAACATGATCCTACTGTAGCTCTAGACTCAATATCAACATGTGTTTACTCATCTCACTGCACACAAACACATTCAGTGCTCCTCAAAATAATTACTTCAGCCTGAGGCTTATTAATTTCACTTTTGTTATTAAGGGGCTTTTACATTGGCCAAAAATAGAACTTTTTTATATTAAAAACAATCCAGCCCAGATTCAAAAAGTAACGTAATACATTACTTAGTTACTTTTTATGGAAAGTAATGCAAGTAGTTACTTTTTTTAGGGAGCAACGCAATATTGTACAGCATTACTTTTAAAAGTAACTTTCCCCAACACTGGTCAGAAAGCTGATGGTAGCCCTAGAAATCCATTTTAAAGGGGTCATGATCATTTGCCTTGATCTTTTGGCATTTAAGAGTCGTTGCACCATTAAAACATCCTGCAACTTTCAGAGCTTAAAACGTCCTCCTCGTTATAAACAAAGCATTTATTTAATCGAGCTCCAAAAACGGCTCGTTTGGATCTGAGGGGCAAGATGACGTCACCACAAACATTTGCATAAACACGCCTCCAGAGCTAGACATCGACCAATAGTCTTCTACTCAGCATAGGCCCCGCCCACTGGCGTTCAGTCGCTAACGACTGAAGGATTTTGTTTTGTAATCGAGGCACAGTGTCATGGAGAGTCACAAAGAAACATCTGTTGAGAGATGAAGCGGGACTAGATCTGTCCGCAGCTGCATCACAAACCGTAAGCAAAGGATTTCATAAAGCTTCGTCTGGAAATGACCCTTTTATTTTGATCATGTTGTCAAAACACGCAATAGTGAGGGCCGTTGATACCGTTTCCTATGCAGTGATGCTAGCCAATCATAACAGCGCTGATTACTGACCAGCCTTAAAGGACACGCCCCTAAAAACAGCTGGTTTCAGACATTAATGTTATTAACATTACAAGTAAACCTTAAGGAACATATTAAAATAAGCAAAAATCCATGTCATGACCCCTTTAATACCATCCACTTTACCAGCTAATTAAATAAAACTCCATTTAAAACGAGCAGTTCATCCAATAAATGTGTGTAATCTTACCTTGACACTACAGAAATACAAACTGAACACAGCAGCTACATGGTCTATATTGCTGAACCAGTGTGGTTCAAATGATGGAGGTGCGACCATGTTAGTAGTTTTAGGAAACAATTGTGACTAGTTGGTTAGTTTCTCCAACAACGAAGTAGTCAATCAGGGAGTTGCTCGTTGTATAGGAAACGCACCGCTGGACAGTTTAGGGATCTCCAACCCCAATCAAACACACCTGAAGCAGAAGCTCAGACGCATTCGGGCGAGCATAAAAAAGATGCACACGTAAGGCAAATATATCTCTATAAACAATAAATGATTAGTACAGCCAGGTGGTGCAATGTCTCTTAATTTCTTGAATTCATATGTACACTAGGATTAACACTAGATCTGGGATGTTTCCGTCTCCGATGTTTCCTCGCAGGGCAACGAGCTGAGGAATGATCCACGAACACAACGGAGCGCAGCTCGCTGAAGCTAAGAGTCGTCGCCGATGTCTTCTGTAACAGACACGTGGAGAAAACGAGAGGATTTGGCAAGCGGGACGTTAGTGTCACAGTGATGCCCAAGCCAACTTCTGCTAGAAAATCTATCGAAGACCCACGAAAAACCAGCAACATAAAATCATCTGGCTCAAACAAATGCAGATCACATGATTTTCTGAGTGAAGTGCTTGTCTCATCCAGTACCTACTCTAGTCAGGAGCAATCTTACCCTTCAACGCAATCCTTAAAAAAATAAAAAAATCAGGGTGGAATCAATGCGTCGTTCGGCCAAATCAAACAGAGAGAGGATATAAAGCAGAAAGATCCAACAAAAGCCCGATGATACAAGAGAAATAAAACTTCAAAGTCTTTAATAAAACAAAGAAAGGAAGAATTTCTCATGCCCTCTGCTGTCCGTTTGTGACGCACAGATGCTGTGAAGGAGGAGGAGGTGGAAGAGCCTTGATTTGACGATCGTGAGCCATTGTGTCGTGCTTGTGCGGTCGGGTCAGACGCTCATTTGGGCGCCGCTGCTCGCTGGCCCGGGGCTTTGGCATCATCTCTGGAGGCAGGAGCGGTCTGGGAGGGATGACGGCGACGGCCATCGCCGCTGGAAGGGTGTCTCTTACGCCCGCCGTCCTCCATGGGCGGCTAAAGGGCAGAAAAACGCCAGCTTTAACGACACACATCTCGTGACACACACAAGAAACACCAATCTAGGGCTGGGCGGTTTTTCCCATTTTATCGATTAATTCGAACTGCCACGATTTTATGACCTGAAAGACCATAAGTAGAATATATCGCCAGGTGCCGTTCACACAGAATGCAATTTTTGTGTTGACAGTGGAATAGGAAACACATGCAAGAAGATGGGAGTCAAACTTCTTTTAACTTGAGCGCCGTGTTTCTAGAAAGCCGTTTCATGCATGAGGCGCTGCGAGAGACTGCGATATGACTGATATTTCATGTTTGCATCATGGTGTCAAGACTAAAAGCTGCTGTTGTTTTTACAGAACATTTATAGCTAATAATAGTCTACTGGTGTTATGCCTTCAGTCATTTTGAATTTGAATTACCTTGATCTTTGAGTTTTTTTTACATATAATACGTGACCCTGGAGCACAAAACCAGTCATAAGGGTCAATTTTTGTAAATTGAGATTTATACATCAAGCTGAATAAATAAGCTTTCCATTGATGTATGGTTTGTTAGGATCGGACAATATTAGAAAATCTGGAATCTGAGGGTGCAAAAAAAATCAAAATATTGAGAAAATCATCTTTAAAGTTGTCCAAATGAAGTTATTAGCAATGCATATTACTAATCAAACATTAAGTTTTGATATATTTATGGTAGGAAGCTCACAAAATGTCTTCATGGAACATGATCTTTACTTAATATCCTAATGATTTTTGGCATAAAAGAGAAATGTATAATTGTGACCCATACAATGTATTGTTGGCTATTGCTACAAATATCCCCCAGCGACTTAACACTGCTTCTGTGCTGCAGGGACACATGTGTAAGACAAGTTCATACAAGATGTAGTTGCAGTTCATGCATCTTTTCTACAAAGATATTTAACAAGCGATTAGTTAAAAATGTACATCATGTTGACAACTTTATGTGTGCTGCACTCGGAATAGAGTTTTCTAGAGGGTTACTTGTTACTTGAATCATGTTGTAGTTACATTTTCAAGTTGACTAGTTAAAAATCGTTAAAAAAAAATCGGGAATCAGTCAAACGTTCTGAAAAATTTTAATTTAACATTTTAATTTAATTTGCCATATCACCCAGCCCTACACAGAAGAAACGCCAATCACAACCCAGCAGCTTGGCAGGGTTTGTTTTAATCAATGGGGAAATGCAGCGTCTCTTTCTGCCAAGACGATAGTGCAAGCATGCATTATGAAAGAAGCCATGTTGATTTCAACAAGATATGCACTTGGACTCACATCCACCCTGAAGTCCTCCAGACGCCTGAACTTGCTTAAATGCTCCTGCAGCTTGGGGTCAATCTCCATGTTCTTTATTTTAGAGTATTTCAGAAAGGCCCAAAACTTCTCGAGTCCGTACAGCTGGCCTGTCAGGGTACATGAAGCACAATTAAACAAGAGCTCTGATAACTAGACATGATTATTTCAGTAGGGGTGGGAATCTTTCGGTACCTCATGATTCACTTCATATCGATTCTTGGGTCACGATTCGATTATAAATCGATTCATGGTTTTTCAATTTTAAATCACGATTTCATCCAATATTTTGTACAAAGCTTTGTTTATAAGAGAAATATTAGGTAGCAGGCAAATGTTACATCGCGACATCGTTCGATACATTTAAAGCCATGCGCGGCTTTGTGTTGTTTTGCCGGTTGGTCACAAAATTCCACGACTTTAATAATATTTATGGTTTCTTTTCCCAAATAGTTCTAATTTTTTATTGTCGTTCACCTTTAATCTTACTGTGATTAACATCCAGAGGGAAAAGAAAGATTTTGTGGCCGTGAATTAAGAATTCGTTCCTATGACTTATTTCGTTCCCTCATTTGAGTTAAATCATGGGGTTTCTAGGGAACAAATTAATGAAGCATGGACAGTGGCCACAAATTAATAAGTTGTAGGAATCAATTATATACAGGCTATACATATGTATATCTGTCCTGCTCATGTCCGCAGCTCTGTCAAAGCGCAGAGCCCAATATGAAACCCTAAATCTGGGGAAATTATAAATAAACATGATTTAGTTACATGGTTTAGTTTGTGTTGTTTCTGTTTTAATGTACCTTTAAAGTTTGGCTCACATTAGAAGTGCAATTTTTGCCAAAGATCCAGCCCCGTCACGTCACTCACAGCCGCTTCCATGTGTTTTGCGCACGAGCCCAAAATTAATCTGCTTAATCGACCATCGATAGCTTTAATTGATTGCATCTCTTATCGACAATTAATCGATCGTCGATTAATCGTTGACATCCCTAGTTTCCAATTAACTTCCTAATAAAACAAATATTTTACACTTCCCATTAGGAAGGGAAAGGGAATAAATACGAGATGGGAGGAAAAAATATATTTCAATGGTTTCTCTCACAATTACATCATAGGGTAATTATACTGTATATAAACTGCGGGCATCAGGGAGCCGTTATTAATATGTGGGGATTGAAATCGTTTTGAATGCACGCTCGCTTTTTACTTTCCCTTTCGAGATTCGCGATCACACATACTCTATACTACGAAGCGGCAGTACTTACCACACATTTAACAAGATTAGGTGTTTGTCAGGATCTGCAAGTCATTCGCCGGCGTCCTCAGTCATCTCTCTTTACTCTGTTCATGTGTCAAGTCAACTTTATATACTGTAATGTAACAGGCTACCGCTAGCAAGCGGCTAACTATGTCTCTTTAGTGGCTCCGTAGAACGCGCGGTTCGTTTTTGAATATAGATTCACTATTCGGACACGTCCCTACTTCCCATAAAAGATCAAGAATTAATATAATACTTTTCCAAACACTTGCCCTCACTGAAAATGGGTCAGGATGTGTGTTTTTCCTCCTCCATTGCTGATGCTCTTTTGTTCCGACAACACCATGTTGTTATTATTATTATATTAACTAGAAAATAGATTGTTTTTAAATTTGTGAATCAAAGCGAATCACTAGAAGACTGAATCGATCCCCCCCACCCCTCTATTTCAGAGACAGACCTGCTTCGTAGTCTTTAATGGTCTCCTCTTGAAAATCTTTAAATATGTCCGGCCTGAACTTCCTCTCAAGTCCATAGCTGTAAAACCTGAAGAGACACTCCAGACCGTACCTGAGGAACACGAGACAGCCCATCAGTTCATAACACTCAATCTCTGCGGTCCATAACTTATTAAAAACAAAAGACCACATTAATAATGCAATTCATGCAGACTATGACTGTCAAAAATGGTGGAAGGCAGAATTTAAAAAATAAAAATTATTCCAGCTTGTTTGACTACCGCACAAAGTTGTGATTAAAATAGTTTTCCATGAACTGCTCCTTCAATGGAAATTCAACTGCAACATGATCTTGGGCTCGATCTTAAAATGTGACTCGTGCCGGCAAAATGAGTGAAAAAAGTAGATTTTGGTCTTCACAAAAAGGAGTTCATTAAGCCCTCGTCTAGCGATCCCAGTGCTCCAAATAGTAATTAAACATCTAAAATGATCTTTATTTGTACGTTTTCTGAGAGGAGTACCTTTTTCTCGGCTAGCTTCTTACTGATATACACGCTTCCACCAGCGCACGATCCTGATAAATATACCTGTATACACAGAATTAAGTAGGCTATTCACGCAAACATGAACGTTTGGGGAACTGCTGGGAAACATCTGATGTGTAGCATTATATTAGATCCATTACAGTAGGACTTACTATAACGGCCGTCAATCAAACAATAAAAGAAACGTTTGCTGGTCTCGATTGAACTGCTTTCGTAGTTTTAATAATCAATTTATTTGTAATGAACACACTGATTTTTACATTTGACTTTGTTTTTCTTAATTGAATGGTTTTGTATAGATGTCAAATGAAAAAAGTAACGCACTAGGCCTATTTGTTTCATATTTATATTTATTCTACGGTTGTTGTTGTTTTTTTGCATCTGTTCTTATTTTTAATAACAAGGATAAAATATCAAATGGCTATATTGTGATTATTAATAAAGTAATTAATATTAAGAAAAGAAGAGGAGGAAACGATGCAATGTTGCAGGTGATTTTGCTTTGTAACCTTCAGAAAACTTTAACTCCATTTTTCTCAGAAGTTACTTTGCTGACTTCGAACATTTATAGTGCAGTCATTTTTCATCCGATTCCAACGAATCATTCATCATTTTAAACGGTATTTTAACGGAGAATGTGAAAATTAAAATAGCTCATTTTTGATTAATAATATGCATTGCTAAGAACTTCATTTGGACAACTTTAAAGATAATTTTCTCAATATTTAGATGTTTTTGCACCCTCAGATTCCAGATTTTCAAATATTGTGCTATCCTAACAAACCATACATCAATGGAAATATTATTTATTCAGCTTTCAGATGATGTATACATAATATAAAAAAATTGACACTTATGACTGGTTTTGTGTTCCAGGGTCACAAAAAGTAAGTAATCTGGCCCGGAATTCTCTCAAAACACCAACATTTTCTATCGGGACAGTAATTAAAATCACAGATTGCCGTCTGTCAGCACTGAAATGACTTTACGTTATTCTACATAAGACTCTAAACCTTTAAGAGGTTTGTTTTCATACCTGTAGCCTTCCTTCCCGTCCTCCACCACCAGCTGTCTGAATTCCTCGTACATCTTTCTGTTGAAGTGATCTCTCAAGAAGAAGGACCAGAAGCGGAAGAGCGTGTTCATCTCCTGAGACTGGCCGATGCCGAGCCGCTTGCGCTCTGCAGGAGCGACAGAGAGAAGTGAGCGCGAGGTTTGAGGAGGAGACGCTCCAGCAGAGGAGTGTAACTCACCGTTGAGGCAGCGCCGCCGGTACTTGTGATAAACGTGCTGCGTGAATCCGTTCTCCTTCAGTAACTCGTGCGACGGATGCTGGAACTTCGGGAGAGACTGAGGAGTGCAGCCGTAACTACCCATCGCTGCGGTGCCTTCAGACGGACTCGCATTCGAGCTGCAGAGGAAAGACAACATCCGTGATCAGCACTGAAGGGAAAAAAGACTATTGTAGGAGTCGGCTATCTATCTACAATTGTTTTTATTCTTCTTCTTTTATTATACCATCACTGCAGAATAAACACAGATGTGAAAATGCACGAAATCTGAACTTAAATGTATGTAGTTCATGAACGCTTTGGAATACAGATCTAACGTTGGCCCCTTTTGAAAGAGGACAATTGGCAGATTATTGCTCAATTTTGCTGAAAATTTACTTTACCCATTTTTTTATATAAAAATATTTTACTAAATAGTTTGGAATCTAAAATTGCTTTATATTGATAATATCTCAAAAACTGAGGTTCCTGTGAGATTAAGCGTTACACCAAAAACAGCCACCTGGTGACACAAAGACTTTTTTAATGTATTTCCCTGTAACAAATGCATACATTTCTGTCACAATATTTTGTGGTGGTTATTTTAAATATGGAATCTTGAGACTCACAGACCTTTCTACCTACAGTATGTGTTTTGTCAAGATTAGAAAAAGTTGAGATTATAAAATATTGTATTTAATTTTGTAATATGACACTTGGTACCGCCCACTAGGGGGGAGGGGCCTGATAAAAGGATTTAACGCAACATCCGATTTCAAAACTATTTTCACAGGATGATTTTTAAAAAATTTAAAATTTTAGAATTTTTCTCAAATTTAAAAAAAATTAAAAAATAAATAATATATAATATATAAATAAAATGATTTTTTTTTTTTAAAGAGCACCGATCCAGTTAACAGGTTAAATATTGGATAAATTAAATGTATGACTTCAGCAATTTTGACTGAATTTGTTCCTCAAATTTATACTTGAAATTAGTTTAGCATCACATTTTTTAGTATGCATACACATACATTTCTTTATAACATGACAAATGACATGATTTTTAATGGATGAGATGAAACCGATTCAGTAGTCCGTTTGTGCCATTCTGAAGACTTTATTATTCTCAGATGAAGTCTATCAGGTGAATGGACATGAAGTCCGTGTGTTTGCTGACCTGACGGAGGCGGTGCGTGAGCGGTGCTCTCTGGAGTCCATCACCCAGCCCACGTGACACTCCATGGGCGGATTGGAGCTGTGCCGCGTCTTTCGCTTGCGAGGCGTCTGAAAGAAAAGGTCAATAACTGATAGGGCTGCCACGATAAATCGATGCAGAATTGATTCATGGATCAATTCTGAGATTTTCCGAATGCATTGATTATGAGCTTAGACTTTAACAGCAGATGGCGCTCTACTCTAGTTTTTATCCACACACTCATATGCTCATGAAGAAGAGCGCTTGTGCGTTCGGCCGAGTCTGTAATTTCACCTCGGCTCAGAATGCTTTTATGACGCCAGATTAATGTAAACACAGCCCACTGTGAACACCCTTTTAACTCGCTTTAAACTTTTCGAAGTTTATGAATGATTATTTTAGGTTCAAGTGTGTGTAAGGATTTGGAAACGAGCAACGTAAGGCGGTTTCTAAAGCATGCAGCGCCATCTGCTGTTCACAACTAAGCTCAGAATCGACTCGAGAAAGAATCGCCATGCATTCAGAAAACCTCAGAATCTCGATTCGCAATGCATCGATTTATTTCCCCAGCCCTAATAACTGACAGGACCGCACTGTTTGCAGCCTGTACGAGCGGATACGTACTTTGGCGTCCAGCGGCCGTCCATCCTTCACCACGGGGTAGAAGCGGGGCGTCTGCGTGGGGTCCCTGAGCCGCGGGGTGCGGGGCGTGCGGGGCGTGCGGTAGCTGGGAGAGTCAGGCACGGCCGTCGGAAGAGAGCGGGCGATAGCTGACGGCTCAGGCGCTCCGAACAGTTTGTTGGCCAAGGCTTCTGTGGGGACTATGAGAGAGAAAACATTCACGTCTTTAAACCTTCAGAACAAATCAAGTGAGACAGCATGGTTTTGATGATTGTAACACCGTGTCCTAACCACACACGAAGCTGCGACACGCGATAAAAGGTATCTTTTTCCATGTTAATCAAAGTTCTTGTCCTAAATGAGACCCTGGAGCACAAAACCAGTCATAAGGGTCAATTTCTTGAAATTGAGAATAAATTAGCTTTCCATTGATGTATGGTTTGTTAGGATCGGACAATATTTGAAAATCTGGAATCTGAGGGTGCAAAAAAATCTAAATATTGAGAAAATCATCTTTAAAGTTGTTCAAATGAAGTTCTTAGCAATGCATATTACTAATCAAAAATTAAGTTTTGATATATTTATGGTAGGAGATTTACTAAATATCTTCATGGAACATGATCTTTACTTAATATCCTAATGATTTTTGGCATAAAAGAAAAATCTATAATTGTGACCCATACAATGTATTGTTGGCTATTGCTACAAATATCCCCCAGCGACTTAACACTGCTTTTGTGCTGCAGGGACACAAATAGCTGCGACACACAATTTCTTTTTTTTTTAAACTGTTTCTATTTCTGCGACGTCGCGGCTGGAACAACAACATACAAACTATATGACAGTGATAGTCTAATGCGAGTTTAAATATAATTTAGTCTGACCTTATAGCCATGATACTATTTAAAACTGTGAACACACACATAGTTCTATTCCAAGTGCAAGAAGTTCTTAACATGCTGTAAATGCAAACAAAATTACTTGTTAAATATCTTTGCAGAAAAGATGCATGAAATATGAAGGCAAATATTGTATCCTATGTGTTCATAAATAATGCAAAATAAGAAAAATGCAAATGTTTCCTAACCAATGTCAGTTTTAAAACAAACCGTTTTAAAAAGTTCAGCTTGTGTCTCATAAGCGTGTGTTTTTCTCACATTTATCATTCTGTGTGAATATCAGCGCTCCATCATTTATTCAAAACATCTCTTCCTTCAATAAGAAAAACAATAAAATCCTGTTGAAGTGTTAAAATGGCCCAGGCCGAGTGTAAGTGTGTTTGTGGGTCAGACTCACTCTGCTGGGGCCGCGGGGGTCCGGGAGGAACCTCCTGGTTGGGGTCGACGGGAGGTTCAGGGGTCAGACAGTCGAACTGCTCTCGGCTGATCAGGTGCACCTTCCTGAAGTTCTCCACTTCTTGCTGTTGTTACAATATACGGAGATGCAAACAGGTGAAGTGTGAAAAAAGGTGAGATTTTTGCTTTACATGCTCATTGGTAGTTATATTAAGGTATTTTAAAAATATTTGTTTTACATTATATGTCCAAAACTTTTTTTTTTGTACAAAAAGAAAAAAAGAAGAAGAATTTTTTTAACATCTTGTTGCAACATTTGACAAAAATCAAGATTCCCATGTTATAAAAGATGAAGTGCTATGCAGTGCTATGTCTATTTAAGACGACACTGGCTGATTAGACAGCAATGCTGACCTAAAATGCAAAAATGTTTGCCCTCTCTCTCTTCACCGTTCCCACATCTCAGACCCTAATACATAAAACAGACATCGTTTTTGAAGTAAAGACTACAATACAAACTGAATTAAAGTTATGACTAGTCTTGAAGAAAGAAATGAGATGACTAGATGACAAGCACTTGTCATTAAGAACCTCACACACATGCAGCAGGACAATATAAGAAGCAAAACCAATATTAAAGCTCTAATGGCACAACATAATTTCAAAGCTCTAATCGATACACATCTCGCTCGTACCTGTGAGCCGGAGCGAGCCATGACCCCCAGAGCTGTTGCTCAAACAGCAGATAACTGAAGCTAACGCTATCTGGCTTTTCTAGCACCGCTGGCCTTACCGCACACGGCACGTGAATGGCACAAAGAGCCCGACACAAAAGACCACAACAAACGCTCTGGTGCAAGACCTTTCTGTGCCGCCCGTCCAGAAACACGGCGCTAAAGAACACGCTCTCAGCAGCCGCGAGGAGAACAGAAGAGCGCGAGAATGGACACACACCCAGAATCTGACAGAATAAAACTCAAAGACAAAACACGGAGAGCAGTCAGTGATGTACATCAGTCTAATAACAGATCACTCACATCTGCAGAGAATGGGCTGATTTCTGCTGCTGCTGCTGGTGACGTCACACTACTGCTGTGCGTTTCATGATATTTTAAAATTGTATTTTTAATAATTTTACCATTTTGTTCTTGGCTACGCTTTCTCACACTACCTAGAATTAGTAATGCTTGTAGTGCACTACAGCAGGACATCTGTTATTAGGAGCACTTGTGATTTAAATTTTAAAAAATGGTATCTTTATGATCAATAAATTAACTTTCCCATTACAAGGCAATATTTGACACAAAGTGATTCTCAATAGTTTTTTTTTTACCTTGGTAAAGGCATTTTTTCCTAATCTTATGTCAAATGCGTTAATATTTATAAACTTTTTCAAAATTATTTCAAAACAATCAGAATAAGTAACCAATCAAACTATATCAGTATCAACAAAATTCATCTTTGCACTACAGAGAACATAAAAGTGCTATTTAGGTATATTTACAGACTGTTTAACGAGGTTTAGAGGTGGCATGAATGCATTTAAATTCATAATAATGTTATGAGGTTAATGTTTTAAATATGAAGTTTGAATATAGAAATATGTAATGATTCAAATAACTGAAATTATATTTTAAAAATGAAACCAAAACCGACAGAAGTCTTTTTCACTGAATCATTCATTCAATCGATTTATTCAAACGGCTGATTCAGAAGTGCTTTTATGAATTTACTTTTCATTTTATGATTCATTCATAAACGAAACACCACTGTGACTTTGGAACTATTTTCGTAAAATCAGACAACAGGGTTCCTAAAATCTAAGTCGCTTAATACAGACTTGTTTATTGAACTGCTGTCATAAAATCAGTATCCCATTTACAAACTAACTTTATAATCGATAAAAAGCTATCACTCATCTCAGTTCATCTCGATCGCACAAACTTCCCTTATAATCAATGAAGCTCTACACTGCACGTTGAATCTATTATTTACATTGTGTCTAGACTTTGTTTGTTATAATGACAGGATTCGTGAGTTTGCATTCAACACGGAACAAATCTCCGGAATTTTAAGCAGCGAGTGGATTCGGACTTAAACTGCTATAATTGGCTGCAGCGTTCAAGAAATCAACAGATGTGGCTGTGATTGGCTACTCTGCTCAATACTGCAAAAACACGCTGTAAACAGAAACCTGTGCTGCGCTCCAGAGCTCAAACACTAATACACTCTGGTGCTAGGGGTGTGCGATATTGACAAAAATTAATATCTTGATATTTTCTAGGAGTTTATCGATAACTATAATTAGACGACATTTTCTAAAAGTGTGTCAAATCAAATTCTTGCATTTAATCAATAAATTAGAATAATAAGACTTTTGGGCTTAAATCACAAAGGCGATAAATCGCGATTAGACAGAAGCTGTGATTGTCGTGCGTATCTTTCAGTGAAGCACGGTTCTGTGATCAGCAGTAAATCAACATCCGAAGGTCAGAGAAACTCCAAATGCACCCCGCAGAAGAAACCCAGGAAAACCCTAAAGCGCTAGCTGAATAAACATTAGATTTAACTGCTTTCATTGATTCAACGTGACTAATAAACACACGACTACAGCAACATATGGTTTAACATATGAGTTCTTACTATAATTTTCATTATTATAAAGTATATAATAATGCAATGCTAATCGACACAGCCTTTATTCATCTTTGCAGCGCAGAGGAAACACAGAGCTGCGTCTGAGGCGGCGTTTAGATGCATTTACACACTGTTTAGTGCAGGACACGAATGCATTTAACCTGCAGTTACAAATGCATACATAATAGTTTGATATATTAATCGTAAAACGTTGAATACTGATATTTGAAATTATTTAAATAATTAAAAGATACTTTAAATGTGAAATTAAAACCGCCAGCAGGTGGCAGCAAGTCACGGATAATAAGTGAGTCACTGCGATTGAACCGAATCATTTAAACGCTTGATTCATTCAGGAACGAAACGCCGTCATGTTGCTCAGAGACGCACAGCAGTGCTGTAGCTGTGTTTGGAATGATTTGTGTTGGCAAAATAGAACAAAAACAGGCAATATGGTGTCTAAAACGCAAGTCTCTTAATTAACTTCTTATTTATTAAACTGTTCTAAAACGTCAATATCACATTCGTAATCGTGGTATTTTTTGGAGAGAAAAAAAGGCACTCTTCCAGTGAAATTGATTAACTAAGTGATATAAATATATAAATTTTCTGCGCCGTGTCTTGAATTTGTGATCATTCTAAATGAATTTTAATAGACTAAATCATGCAGAGAAAGAACACACTCGCTCTAGTCTAGGCTTCACGTAATGTATGCGTGCGCTCTGTAGGGCTGTTTTGAATGCTTTTTGCAAAATACTTGATCGTTAAAACAACAATTACGGTATTATCGCAGACGGATATAAATATTTTTACACATTCAGTCATTTTTGGTCGGACTGTAGACCCCTGTGTAGTGTGCCGTTCTCTCTATTACTGATTTAGATTTTTTGCAAGGGCACAAACCATCCTATTTTCTCATTGGGGAAGAAAAAAAAAATGAAATGTTTGTTTTTTCTTGTGCATTGCTCACTGGAAGCCGTTTCTGCACTAAAGATCAGTCCTGACGTGCATCAACAGCAAACGGCCATAAATCAGATGACAGCTCACCTTGATAGTGGCATACTCAGGCTCGTACGTGTCGTCCCAGAGGTCTTGTTCGTAGTAATAAAGTCCGTCGTTAATGACTTTGCCCAGTTCGCTGGTCAGTTTGGAGCGTGAGGTGTGGTTCCCCGTCCGGTCTCCTCCGGGATGCTTGCGCAGGTACGGCGGCGTCTGCGTGAGCCCTGTGTAGTGTGCCGTTCTCTCTATTACTGATTTAGATTTTTTGCAAGGGCACAAACCATCCTATTTTCTCATTGGGGAAGAAAAAAAAATTGAAATGTTTGTTTTTTCTTGTGCATTGCTCACTGGAAGCCATTTCTGCACTAAAGATCAGTCCTGACGTGCATCAACAGCAAACGGCCATAAATCAGATGACAGCTCACCTTGATAGTGGCATACTCGGGCTCGTACGTGTCATCCCAGAGGTCTTGTTCGTAGTAATAAAGTCCGTCGTTAATGACTTTGCCCAGTTCGCTGGTCAGTTTGGAGCGTGAGGTGTGGTTCCCCGTCCGGTCTCCTCCGGGATGCTTGCGCAGGTACGGCGGCGTCTGCGTGACGATCAGAATCTTGTTGACGTCTTGATCGTTGATTTCACAGTCCGAGTCCTCATCTGACCAGTCGGTGAAAGTGTTGCGTCGGCCGTCTATCGGCTCCATCTCCTCGTCGAACATGAAGTCCAGCTCCTCCGGCTCGTCCTGGTCCTCGCTTGCGCTCGGGCCGGTCTGAACCGGCGTCCGCGCTTCTTCCGCTTTCTGCAACAAACCGTCCATCAATGACACACATCAGTTCCACACGCTCCAGATTCAAGGCTGTCATTTCGGTATTTGCAATGCTCAAGAAACAAAAACTTGACTGCAATGTTAAAAAAGTTTAAACTTTATTTGGTAATGACGAACTCAACAATCTATTTTTTTCAAATGCTAAATCAATGTTTTAATTATACTACATGCATCAACAAAGTGCAATTAAAAATCAACTAGATCTATATTAGGCAAAACTGTGACATTAACATGCTGAGAGCTGATGGTACAGATTCTCTGAGAATAAAGTTGCACAGTGATTGCAAATGCTGTTGTACTCAACAAAGTTGGTAGAAAGGATAATGAAAGTGTGGATGTGAAGTGGTGATAAGCATTATATTATTTTCAGCAATTCTGTCCATCATTTGTGACCCTGGACCACAAAACCAGTTAAAGAGTCAATTTTTTTACATTGAGGTATATGCATGATATGAAAGCCGAATAAATAGCTCTCCATTGATGTATGGTTTGTTAGGATAGAACAATATTTGGCTGAGATGCAACTATTTGCAAATCTGGAATCTGAGGGAGCAAAAAAATCTAAATATTGAGAAAATCATCTTTAAAGTTGTTCAAATGAAGTTCTTAGCAATGCATATTACTAATCAAACATTAAGTTTTGATATATTTACGGTAGGAGATTTACTAAATATCTTCATGAAACATGATCTTTACTTAATATCCTAATGATTTTTGGCATAAAAGAGAAATGTATAATTGTGACCCATACAATGTATTGTTGGCTATTGCTACAAATATCCCCCAGCGACTTAACACTAAAATGTGATGAAATGAAATACATTTACAACAAAACGCTGCATTTTTATTGTCAAGCAAGATGCTGCACAACAAAACTGTATAAATGAAATTTAAAAAATCCTTGGTTGTATGATATTCCTTTTTTTTTTAAATTATATTATTATTACTTTGAGAATTCTATTTTACTTGGCTATCCAATAGTAATATATTTCTGTCATAATTTCTTCAAGTTAAACCAGCGGGTTGTCGTGAAGGTCTTTCAGTTTCAGTGTGTGTTTGACGGTGGTTTTTCTCAAATGAAACTGTGTAAAGCTGAAAGTGAGTCTCAGAGCAGCTCTGGAGATGAAGTTCATGGGGTCATGTCCTCATATGTGTGACCCTGCAGCACAAAAGCAGTCTTAACCCTTTAGGCGCCAGGGTTTTTTTGGAAAAATGCTGGATTTTGATTTTGATTCTTGCACGGCGGCACCACTGCGTTGCAAAGATGTACCGGTAGAAGCGCGGTTATTAGACGACCGATCGTCATTTCCAAAAGGCAAATATTCCCCTTCAGATTCAGAATCGGCGAATAACATTTGCAATACATCCTCACGGTACAACTTTTATTAGCCATTTGGCGATTTTCTCTCACATCTTACCCGCACGCTATGAACTGAACTGCTTCCGCATCAATGACACGAAAACTCACTTGCTCTGCTCTTTCCTCGAACACTTTGAATAGGAAGGTGACGTAATTTTGGTCTAGAATCGAAGTACTACATGTCTGCCATCTAGTGGTAGGGAATACAAATGAGATATTACACCATATTAGGAACTACAGTCTATTTGATTAAGTATGACATCTTGACGCAATTTTGCGACTTTGGCGCTAAGAGGGTTAAGTCGCTGGGGGATATTTGTAGCAATAGCCAACAATACATTGTATGGGTCACAATTATACATTTCTCTTTTATGCCAAAAATCATTAGGATATTAAGATCATGTTCCATGAAGATATTTTGTAAATATCCTACCGTAAATATATCAAAACTTAATTTTTGTTGTCACATTTAAGCATGCTGTTAGATTAATTTATATCGAGTAAAAATGTCCAGAGCTCATCATTGATTTCAACATATTTTATCGCAACTCAATATGATTTAGCCCTAATCTAATGTGTGTTTGTACCCTGGGTCGCGCTGGTGACGGCCGAGGCCTCTTCTTCACTTCGATCCACGACTCCGAGTCCAGATCGGGCAGGCTGGCAGACAGGCCCTTCGGCATCAGCTTCAGGTTACTCAGATCACCGGTCTTGGGCCGCACCGGCGCCGAGGCTCTCGGAGAACCTGCGGGTCAAACCTTCAGTCAGAACTAGGGATGTAACGATATCAAAATGTCACGATACGGTATTTATTGCGATATTTAAAAAGAAAAAAAATACAAATGAAGAATTGGAGGGGGGGGGGGGGACCCTGATCGTCTGAACCAAGTGTGCGCTTCACTTTAAAACACGCAGCAAAAAGAGACTTAATGAAGGGATTAAGCATATTATGCTTTCGGTTTTAGTTCGTTTGACAGATAATGTGCGCCAAAGCATAATGGCCGAAAACTAATATATTTTAAAAACTACACTTTTTGCCCGGAAGACCTATCTTTTAATATCGTCATGTGACCACGATAACATCGAGACAGTTTTGCTATCGTGATACTACGGTAACATCGCTAGTCAGAACTGGCTCATCTCACACCAGAGCTCGCGCTCACCTGTCTGCTTCTCCACAACGTTCCTGGGAACAAACTCTGGGCAGTCGATGAGCTGAGAGAAGTCTGTGTGCGAATGGTCCAGCAAAGCGAGGCCGGGAAGCGGCCATTTCTCAGGCTCCTCCTTGCAGCGAATCTTCATATCGGTGATCTCCACCACCTTACTGTCCTTCAGGGCCTGAAAGAAAAGCAAACGTCACGGGTTCAAACGCGGCGGCTCATAAGGCAGCGGTGCGATCGGCCGGCGGAGGATCTGACCTCTATGATGAGCCTGAAGTCTGTGGTGAGCGCCTGCACTCGGTGGAAGCTCGCGATCAGAGCGATCGGCAGGAAGCCCTCCTGATCCATCTTCCTGCGCAGGAAGAAATCCCTCTCCAGGTTGTCCATGCTGAAGTAGTATTCACTGCAGAAACAAACACACCGTCTCAACACGGGGAGAAGACCAAACACAACTCTTGTTTTTAACATCTGCGTTCATGCATTCATGTGTTTCCAACAGCTCGAATAATGCAGAAACTTTTGGCAATTCACTACAAAAGAACCGACTCTGCAATGCCATTCGTTCACAAATGAATAGTTCGCATTGCTAGTTTTTAAAGGGTCTTGAAACACTAAACTACATTTTCTGAGGTGCTTGTGTTGAACTGTGAATGTAGGACCAGCGCTCCTAAAAAGAAAAGTAATCGTAAAGCCTTGTGTAACAGTATATTAGATCCGTGCATGAGGTCTTAAAGAGATTGTCAAGTTCATCCACTTCGTCTCGCGGCACAAGGCACTGTAAAGATCCTTGCAGACCGAGTTCACAGAAATTGGTGGTCTTCTTTTTAATATGTGACCCTGGAGCACAAAACCAGTCATAAGGGTCCATTTTATGAAATTGAGATTTACGCATCATCTGAAAGCTGAATAAATAGCTTTCCATTGATGTATGGTTTGTTAGGATCGGACAATTTTTGGCTGAGATACAACTATTTGAAAATCTGGAATCTGAGGGTGCAAAAAAATCTAAATATTGAGAAAATCATCGGCACAGAGTATTTTTTTTTTGCAATTTAAAATGCTTTTTTAAAGTACACTTCTGAACACTGTAGAAAAGCATGGATTATCATACGTCTTCTTCAAATTTCTTTTGAGAGACGAATTACTTTTATGGATCGCCCATTATTTAGTGCTATAAACACATGTAGTGTCAGTTTCATTCATACTGGACACCAGAGGGTGAAAATCCACATATGCATCACAGAAGTAAGAGAGCTCACGGCGCTCCGGGAAATCCCCAATACGGACAAAGGCATCCAGCTATTCTTGTAACTGAATAAAAGAAAGAAACACTCTGAATGATGAAACATGAAGACAATAAACACTCGACTGCGACAATGTATAGTTTATCGGTGTTCTTAAAACCACCTCGGCAGATATATTAGGCATCCGCTGATAGACGTGACACTCAAACGCTCAGAGACATATCTGTTGAGCGTGTGAACACAGTGGCCAGTCACCGGTGTTTAAGGATCCGCTCAGCAGCGCTCAAATTCTAGCGGGAAATGCTGGTATCATGCCATTAAAAAGAAAAGTAAGCGTAAAGCCGTGTGTAACAGTATATTAGATCCGTGCATGAGGTCTTAAAGAGATTGTCAAGTTCATCCACTTCGTCTCGCGGCACAAGGCACTGTAAAGATCCTTGCAGACCGAGTTCACAGAAATTGGTGGTCTTCTTTTTAATATGTGACCCTGGAGCACAAAACCAGTCATAAGGGTCCATTTTATGAAATTGAGATTTACGCATCATCTGAAAGCTGAATAAATAGCTTTCCATTGATGTATGGTTTGTTAGGATAGGACAATTTTTGGCTGAGATACAACTATTTGAAAATCTGGAATCTGAGGGTGCAAAAAAATCTAAATATTGAGAAAATCATCGGCACAGAGTATTTTTTTTTTGCAATTTAAAATGCTTTTTTAAAGTACACTTCTGAACACTGTAGAAAAGCATGGATTATCATACGTCTTCTTCAAATTTCTTTTGAGAGACGAATTACTTTTATGGATCGCCCATTATTTAGTGCTATAAACACATGTAGTGTCAGTTTCATTCATACTGGACACCAGAGGGTGAAAATCCACATATGCATCACAGAAGTAAGAGAGCTCACGGCGCTCCGGGAAATCCCCAATACGGACAAAGGCATCCAGCTATTCTTGTAACTGAATAAAAGAAAGAAACACTCTGAATGATGAAACATGAAGACAATAAACACTCGACTGCGACAATGTATAGTTTATCGGTGTTCTTAAAACCACCTCGGCAGATATATTAGGCATCCGCTGATAGACGTGACACTCAAACGCTCAGAGACATATCTGTTGAGCGTGTGAACACAGTGGCCAGTCACCGGTGTTTAAGGATCCGCTCAGCAGCGCTCAAATTCTAGCGGGAAATGCTGGTATCATGCCATTTTTTTAAATTTCAGTACCGATGCATTTTCACTGCGTGAGAACATGTGTAGTGTGAGAGCGGCATTGTTTGTCGGGATGGCAACAGTAACTAAGGAGAGCGGGTCTTTGCAAACAGTCAATTCGCCTACTTATACTATGCCCTGAAAGTATGTACTCTTTTTGTGTACATACTTTTGAGTATGTAGCAGAATAGTAGGCCAGCTTTGGGACATGCTACTTCGTCATAACTGTGTCTTTAACAGACGCTCTGTTGCTTAGTTACGTGCATTCTGTCACGGTTTAAACTGTCCTGTCAATCATCTAATCACAGTTCACAAAATACATATTTTGTGTAAGTTAATTTCCTACCGCATTGGAGAGAAATGAAGAGGCACATTGTGTGTCTTTCATGCCGAGAACACTCTTCATTTGTTTGCATAATGATGCATTTAAAAGTTAATGACCAAACGTATCATTATAAAAGTTCACAATGTTGCTGCAGATGAAATATAATGTGCATAACATTAAATATTTTTTAATCAGGTTAGACATTGATTATTTATCACTCAAAGCCCTTTCTCGGCCTGTCCGTCGATCGTGCATATCCACCATGTTGGTAGTTTTTAAACCCTTTTCATGCGTGTTTGTAGTTCTAATGGAATCCTCGTCCACCGCGCAATGTGTTGTGGGCAATATTAGCCGTTAGAGAGTGCATCGATCTGTACTTCGGATTCTAACCGGAAGTAGTAGACCATCCGGGAATCTTTGGCATACTTTTTTAAACATACTGTGATTTGGGACATACTAATTCTATTTTCCAATACTATTCAGCACGGATATGTGCAGCATGTGTTCTAAAATCGGCTGAAAATATCAAACATGTTCGATCTCCTCCGACTGGGTGGAATCAAAGTCTGTGACCATCGACACTTCGCGATTTTCTATGGAATCTGTCAACTCTAAAACCGTGTTGAGGCTGAGCGTGGTTCACTCACATCTGTCTCTTGATGTAGTCCTTCAGCAGGTCCTGGTCCACAGCGTACAGCTCAGCGCTGCTCATGTTGTCGTAATAGTAGGTCACTGTGCTGTTGAACTTCTGACCGCAGGCGCCATCCTTCCCCTCATAGCCTTTATAGCCATAGTAGTCATAATGACCTGATGAGACCAGAACAACAGACAGAGTAAAACAGCAGATGAACCCCTGGAGTATTTTGTTACAGAACTGTGATGAAACAAACAAAATTATTCTCTTTTAACCTCTGGAGTGTTGTTCGTGCGGTGGTCAAATTACCCTTTTTTTTTTTTTTTTTTACTTCAAGGAAACTAATGAACTATTTTATTATGGTACTAAATTATATTTATGGAATAGTTATGATTCATTTATTACCTGTTAACCACTTTTTGCACATAGACCAGAAAATTAAATGTACAACTTAATTCTGAGTTCTGAAGAATTCAAGATTTACGACAGTTTAAGTTTGGTCTCTTTGTAAAGAAGACACCTGGCAGATTTTAATTTCGTGAAGTGAAAAACGGTTTAAAAAGTGAAAATAAACTAAAAACTTTTTTTATTATAAAAAATCCAAAGTATTATTTTGAAATTGTATATGAAATATATCTTTTCCAAAACATGTTTCACCCTAAACCTGCAAGAAAAATCAAAGCCATATATCTGAAAAAGTTGCGTTTCAAATTTGAGGTTGCTATCACAAAAAATTATTTAGATTTAAGATTTTGTTTGGGCAAATTTTAACCACGATCAATACAAGTGTGACTATTTTATTAGGACCATTCACATAGCAAGTACCAAGTTTTGTATCATTCCAATAAAGTAAAAAACAATTTTTGGGTCAAAAATGACCAAAAAACACCAGAGGGATAACGTTATTTCTGGAACATGGGGAGAGACCATCTTTAGATTAAAATTAAAATGAGTCTCTCCACAAACCGAAGCCAAACGATCTCAGTGAAGAGACTCTAAATCCCGTGCTGGAGTCGTGTCCGTGTGTATTTAAGTGTATTTAAGCACTTCTGGAGTTCTCTACCTCTGCCGGCTCCTCTGCCGCGTCCTCGTCCCCGGCCCCGACCCCGTCCGCGGCCCCTGGCAGTGTATCTGTACGGCGCTCCCTCGCTCTTCACACTCGACACCTCATCATGGTCGTCCTTGAACTCCTGATCGTACTTCCCACTGTGCCAGTCTGCAAACACAAACACAAGCCAGCACGCTGCTGTAGCGAAGAACCCACAAACCCTTCACACTCAAAAACTGCTGGTGTGCATGACGAAATAGAAATACAAGTCAGTTACACTGCCATGCAAAAGCCTGGGACCAGTAAGATTTCTAATGGTTTTAAAGAACCCTCTCTGCTTTGATTACAGCCGTTACCATGGAAACCAATGTTTCTGCCGCTCCAAAAGCGCCCCCTGCTGGCAGAGAATGTCCCGTGTCCAGCAGCGTGCTTTCTGTTTTCTGTAGCAACTCTGAGCACTTTTCATACTCTTTATCCTGTTTCAATCTATAAACATAATCAGCCTATGTTTCACTGTAGTTTAAGATATTAATATTAATAAGGCGAGGCTGAAAGTCTTATGTTTATTTGACAGTGATTTCACATTACCTGTTTGACAAAAGGTGAACATTATTTGTACCATGTTTTTTCTAAAATAGTTTTATAGAAGGAGGTTTCATAGACTTGGCAAATTCATTTTTCAGAAGTTTGTATAGACATCTGTTGTGGGCGTTCTTGGCAGTAATTCTGAGGCTTTTTAAAATATTGTTCATATCGATATCGGAAATATATCGTATCGACCTAAATTAAGAAATATATTTTGGCCATATTCATCCAGCCCTACGATCCAAAGACAGATTCGAACAACATCAGCAGTTTCTGACCTAATTTCAAAATCTGAAGCAAAAACAGAATGGTCTAACTTCATCTTTGTGAAGCTATGCTACATAAAAAATATCTGCAGGAAACAAAAACAGCACACTGGCTGATTGAGAGCGCAAATTCACTCTCTGCCAGCAGGTGGCGCTTATGGAACAGCAGTGATGCAGTGTTTCTGATACGTTTTCGACACATTATACAGACAGTCGTGTTACTACAAAACATCAAGAAGCAGTTTCCTCCGTCTCCACTATCCAACGGGGCCGTACAGTCGCTGTTTTGCAGTCGCGCATTGGCTATTGTGGAAGTACTGATGTAATCATATAGCCACCGTCATCCTAAATATCAAACATGGCGGTCCCGATTTGTGTGGAGGCAGATCGGGAGGTGCAAGATTCGATCTGTGAACGCCTCACATTACCAGATAATCCGGCCGAACATCGGGAGCGATCGAGGGGCTCGACAAGATTTTTGCGCCGATTCTCGGGAGGGGGAAATCGGGGCTAAAAATCCTGTAGTGTGAGCCAGGCTTTAGTATGGATTATACAGCGGCAATCTTTCAATTTTTCAGGTTCTCCAGGATGCGTGGGAACCCCGCTAGATCAGCTCTGCATTAAAGGAACCCGTCTCTACCGGAGAGTTTCTTTACTTCCAGAGTCCATCAAAGCCGTATATGCATTCAGACAGAAAATCATTTGGGATTATGGTTGAGATTGAAGATTTCTGACGCTGTGGTACCTGGACTTCCTTCGTAGCGATCTCTCCAGGTGTCGGCCAGTTGTTTGCATCTCCAAAATCCCCCACCTTCAAAAACAGTGTGAACGCTAATCACAAGAGCAGACTCTCATTCACAGCACTTCTGTAAAACACACAGCACTTCTGTCGTTTCCTACGGCTGCCGGAAGCTGCCCAATCAAATCCATCACCTCCAAAACTCATTCAGGGGTTCTCAACCCTTTTGGGGCCAGGGACCCCTTACAGAGGAGAAAATCTTCCAAGGACCCCTCATAATTATAACAGATTCAGCATATACTTACTACAATTTGTTCTGTTAGCTGCCATTGGAACATTTTTATTCACTCAGTTTAGTCTGTTAATCTGCTAAATGTGTCTGCTGCAGATGCAGATGAACGTCACTCACCTTCCCGCCGCGTCTCATTCTCGCGTTTCCCGCCTTCACCACCTTCGTGGGCCCAGAATGCTCTAGAGCAGCAGAAGAGAGAGCACGACAATCACAAACAGCTCAGATTATAGCTTTAAATGATTCAAAATAGGTTCTATTAATGTTTCATGCCTTCATTTGATAGCCAGAAAAATGTAAATACACAACACAGAATTTCATGACAAAATAAACATGACTAAACATCCGAAGGCAAGTTAAAAGAATACAACTTTACAATCCGTCTCCTGTCTCGTGTAATCGCTCGATCAGTGTTTCAGCCGCGCAGAGACGTCACTATAACGTAACGTCACATACAAGTATAACTACGTTAAAACCATTACATACGATTTATAAACAAGCTGTGAAAATCTGTTTTTGGACAATCGGCTTTTTCAGTTAGAGCAGCAGAACGATGGAATTTAATACTTTATTTATAATTAGAGAGTGTACAACATTTCGTATTTTTAAAACTGTGCTTAAAGTATGGCTTAAGGAAAATCAAATAAGTGATCATTGACGTGGCTTTGTAATTTAATGTAGAATGATGTGATATTGTATGTGTTGTATTGTTTGTGACTTAATATTGTAATTTTGTAAAAACATCCTGCCCAGGGACTGCAGATGCAAATTAGCTTTATAGCTAACTCTGGCTCAACACTGTCGTTGTGCGTTGTCCCTGAACAAATAAAGGAAAATTTTGTTAGAAGTAAATGCGAAAGTAAAAAACATTGAATAATGTGTTGCTTATATTTAGTGTTTAAACATGTCTGTGAAAGACTGTATCGTGTAAAAAGAACTGCAATGCTGAAAAAGCATTTTCAGTGACAATGTTTGGATTTTAAATCAATATAATGGATAACTGTTGTGTCTGTGGTAAACACGGATCAGTAGCGGACTCCTGAAAGCTGACGAGAGTGCCCACATTTACAAAAATGAAATTCAGGCCCTGAATAAATGTCTAAAAATCCTGATTGGAGTATCACTATAAATAGTTATAAATGATAAAAAGGCGGCTTTAAAAAGATCGGTATCGGCAGATACTGCTTTCTGTGATCGGCCTCCAAAACCCTGATCGGAGCACCCCTAGTGTATTATTATTATTTATGTGTTGAGTTTTTAAAAAGATTTACGAAGACATGTTGCACGCTCAGTGTATAGTGCGACGGCAGCTTTACCGTTTCAGACGAAATTACATCAACGCTGCGTGCATCAAGAAACGCACTGTTTTCACCTTCACATCATTTCCAACATCTGTGTGGCGTATTTCACTAGATTTGTAACGAGACGCATTTGTAAATGTGTTTTTTTCACTCAGCTTTCCGTCAAAACAGCAGCTCAAGGGTTAAACTCCTGCAAGTGAAGAAAACAATTGCACTGCCGTACTGTAAAGAGTTTACAGTGCAGCTGCGATGTAACAGTAACACATTACAGTCTTAAGCATCATCGTAAACATATAAAAGTATATTTTTAATAGTTTGGCTTCCTAAAACGCCAGTGTGTGTGTGTAAATGTGGACTGAGACACTACATCACAACTAGAAAGAGCTTCGAGTGCATGTGAAAATCAACGCAAAGGCTTTTTTCTTGGGTTGCAGCTCTTAATACCAGATGCATTTAACTTCCAAATCTACTAAATGCTCTGAGAATGTCCCCTACAGAGCCCGGGGCCCATCGCTATATACAGCATCACTAACATTACACATGCAAAACCAACACTCAATCTACTGAGCTCAGTGAAGCAATCATTCAAATGTAAAAGGTGTCCGCAGACTGACTGGCACACTCTTCAGAGCTGAGATGATGATGGTGCATCAGCCTGAGACACACTGAAGCAGCACAGCCTCTGATCACATGCCACACACCAGCTGTCCTCCTCATGCTGAGGAACTCTGGGATAGCAGCTCAATGCTAGCACCACAGCACTGTCTGCTTCTGCTGATATAACGCACTGCGCTCAATGAGGTCCGCCTGCATATTTACAGTAGTGTCAATGATGAGTATTCATCAGGAGAGCTCACAGGCTAACTGCTAACGGCTAACAGACACGTGTGTGTGTGTGTGTTCAGCATCGCGACAGAGTGCGTGACAAGCACGTGCATCTCACACGTGTCCTTCTGCAACCGTATACAGGCGAATACAGCTTAATATCATACACATACACGCATCTGCTCTGACAGCATAACACGCTCAATACTTCAGGGTTTGTGCAGCTCTCTGCTGATACAGCGCCGTCGCTTCTGGGCTGTCAGACGAGCTCAAACAGAGCAGGCCGCTCATGCTAATGCTAACCCGATAGCCATTTGTTCAGAAATGCGGCAAAGGCGGAGAATAACAAGACGTTCAGTGTCTCAGATGCAGCTCGAACCACAATCAATCAATCAGCTGTGTTGTGCATTCGCAGATCTATATATGAACGCGCTGATGTGTGAAGCCCTGAATCAACGACTCGAGGCCTAACTCGCTGTCATCTGTGTCTCCTGAGAACCGCAGAAGCTAGCGTTACTCACAAACACTGCACACACTCACTCACTCACACACACACACACACACACACACACACACACACACACAGTTACCGGTGATCTGTCCGTTGACTCCGCTCATCTTCTTCGTCCAGGGGTTCAGCTTGGGCGGCGGAGCCTCGGTAAACTCCTTCTTTGAGGCGTCTTCTTCCGCCGGAGCGGGGCTCTCCTTCGCCGGGCTGTTGCTCTCGTCTTCCGCGCGTTCGAGGCTTTGCTCCTTCACCAGGACTCCTCCGTCTGTCTGGGCCTGGCATCGCTCCTGCTCCTGCTCCTCCTCCTCCTCCTCCTCCTCCTCCCTCTGCTGCTGCTGCTGGAGCAGCGCGCTTCTCGGTAGCACGGGCTCCACCTCAGTGGCCATTTCTCCTCACAAACGCCTCAAACCCGCCGCAATGTGCTGCCAAACGATCGCCGCTCGACGCGCCACTCCACCCCTAGACCAGCCGGCTTCAGTCTAAGACGCAGAGTGGTGGAGTGCAGTTAAAACATGTAAAAGAGCGCCGGGAAGCTTTAAAAACTCGGGCTAGGCTTCGCTACTTGCGGCAACGTGAAAGAACCACGCGTTGAACGTGAGCGCGCACGTACGCGTGACGTCACGTGACTGCCCTGCAGACGGCGTGTGTGCGCGCACGCAGCGCCGCGCCTCAGCTTGTTGTGAATAGGTTTGATTTTCTGAACATGAGGACTCTGTAAACTAAAACAGCAGCACTTATAACACAGGTCACTATACAACTGAGCGCATCACTTATATACATCACAAACAGTATTTGTTAGTTCCGAATCGTGAAAACTGTGTTGAGTAATATTTTCACTTAAAGGGGCCATGACATGATTTTTTTGTTTGTTATTGTAATATGTTCCCTGAGGTTTACTTATAATTTAAATAAAGATTTTTTTTGCACAAATAAACATAAATATGTGGGAAAATGATAATTTTCAACCCTCAATCTCTCTCAAACCAGCTGTTTTTAGGGGCGTGTCCTTTAAGGCTCGTCAGTAATCAGCGCTGTTATGATTGGCTAGCATCACTGCATAGGAAACGGTATCAACGCCCCTCACTATTGCGTGTTTTGACAACATGATCAAAATAAAACGTAATTTCCAGACGAAGCTTTATGAAATCCTTTGCTCCCGAGGCCAGCCTAAAAAGGCGCTCAGGACAGTTGACGGGCTGCGCATCGTCACGAAATCTTATCATTTGCACTGTCTTTGCACAAATAAACATAAATATGTGGGAAAATGATAATTTTCAACCCTCAATCTCTCTGAAACCAGCTGTTTTTAGGGGCGTGTCCTTTAAGGCTGGTCAGTAATCAGCGCTGTTATGATTGGCTAGCATCACTGCATAGGAAACGGTATCAACGCCCCTCACTATTGCGTGTTTTGACAACATGATCAAAATAAAACGTAATTTCCAGACGAAGCTTTATGAAATCCTTTGCTCCCGAGGCCAGCCTAAAAAGGCGCTCAGGACAGTTGACGGGCTGCGCATCGTCACGAAATCTTATCATTTGCACTGTCTTTAAGCCTTACCAATTTAAACATTCAAAAGAGTTTAAAACATTCAAACACAAGACGCGGAAAAACTCAACTGAGTACTCGCGCGCCGCGTTCGGTGCGCACACAGAGAGCCGCGTCTCAAAGCGCTTGAACACCGCATTTGCCTCTTCTTGCTCTTCTACCAAATACATCTCGGAGAGTATCCTCGAAAAAAGTGAAAGTAAACAAAAAGAAAAGAAAAGAAATCGGATGTGTATCATTATAATGAATGCATTGTCTCTTAAAGTGACCGCGCCTAATTTACTGGCTGCTGTAATGTTAATCCAAGAATCCTGAGCATGTTTTCTTTAATTGCTAATGCGAGCTTTTTACACCCCAGACTGAGCAAAAGTAAGCATTGCTTGGTAATTGTTCGACAAAGTATTGATAGTTGTGTAAATATTGTCATACTAACAGGTTGATTGTAATCCTTTACCTTTCTATCAAAGTTATCTGACATTATCAAGCTGAATTTGTTCTGACTCAGTTTAACTTCTCATATTTTATTACCATTTTCTGAACTATAGCCAATGAACTGTGATAATGTGAGAAATGTGTCTGAATACATTTTGGTTTGACTGTATATTTCATTTTTACAGTGAAGACTATGCAGTGCTATTTTACATTTAATTATACGTTTTCTGTACCTGGACACCTACAGACTTCAAAAAACGTGAACATTGTGTAAATGCAGCTGATAGAATGTGCGCTGTAGCACGATACTGCCATATTTATTCAAAAGCAGATCGTGGAGACATTGTTATCGTCCACGATCAAAAATCGTCATATTGCACACCCCTAACGCAGTACATGTAGCAAGGCTTTTTAAATTATATAATAAATAAAAAGAAAACAGATAGAATAGAAAAAGAATAGAGAAGCTAGTGTTCGTTTTTTTTAAGAAAACAAGCAGTTAGTAAATGAATAGAGCGCGAGTCTAAAAGGGGCACTTTTTTTTAAAGAATAGAATTAGAATAGAGAGTGCTAGAGTTAGAGGGTCAAGTAAAGATGTGTTTTTAGCCGATGCTTGAAGATGGGTAAGGACTCAGCTGCTGGGATTGAGTTGGGCAGGTCACTCCACCAGGAGGGAACAGTTAATGTAGAAGTCTGTGAAAGTGATTTTGTGCCTCTTTGTGATGAACAATAAAGCGACGTTCACTTGCAGAACGCAAGCTTCTAGAGCCACATAACTCTGAAGTCATGAATTTAGGTAAAGGGGTGCAGAGCCAATGGTGGTTTTGTAGGCAAACATTAATGCCTTGAATCTTATGCGAGCAGCTACTGGTAGCCAGTGCAGATTGATAAACAGAGGAGTGACATGCGTTCTTTTCAGCTCGTTAAAAATTAATCTTCTGAATTAATTGTATAGGTTTGATAGAAGTGGCTGGAAGACCTGCCTAGAGAACATTGCAATAGTCCAGCCTGGACAGAACAAGAGCTTGAACAAGAATTTACTAGAGCCACTACTAGAGGGGACTATATAATGCCACATAGAAGAAGTGCTTTTGGGCAGTCAGCATTTTGCTATAGAGCAGTACATACCTGGAGTACTATACCTATTGAACTAAGAAATATCTTTTGCTTCTTTCTCTGAATCAATAAAAGAGTGGTTATTGGATAATCAAACATGTCTTCATAATTTGACGTAGTGGTTTCTTGCTTGCTTCTATTTTTTTAATGTAATTTTTTTAATTGTGTGTGTGTGTGAGTGTGTGTGTGTGTGTGTGTGTCTCAGTGTGTGTGTGTGTGTTTTAGAGAGAGCAGTGCATTAATACAGAATAAAATGACATGTGGATTCAGTGGTTTGAACACACGCCTTCCAGCCAATCAGAATCCAGTATTCACACAGACCATGGTATATGTACAGTAAATATATTATGGAATGACAGAAATCAACTGTTCTGCATGTTAGCTTGATTATTTTGCTCAAGAGTCACGCAAGCAAAGCTGTGCTTCTAAACACCAGTCCAGAGCTGTAGTAGTCGGCGATGCTCTTTGTGAACGTTCTGTGAGTGTGTGTGTGTGTGTGTGTGTGTGTGTGTGTGTGTCTCAGTGTGTGTGTGTGTGTTTTAGAGAGAGCAGTGCATTAATACAGAATAAAATGACTGGAGCTACATGTGGATTCAGTGGTTTGAACACACGCCTTCCAGCCAATCAGAATCCAGTATTCACACAGACCATGGTATATGTACAGTAAATATATTATGGAATGACAGAAATCAACTGTTCTGCATGTTAGCTTGATTATTTTGCTCAAGAGTCACGCAAGCAAAGCTGTGCTTCTAAACACCAGTCCAGAGCTGTAGTAGTCGGCGATGCTCTTTGTGAACGTTCATCGGAGCTGTAAACGTTGAATCGTTGTAGGCTTCTGACACTTAACTTTGAACTTCGCTTGTCTAATCTAACAGATTTGCACCAAAGAACACGTATTCAACATAAACGTTGATTTGAAATGCAATGCTTGTGATTTAGTGAACTGCAGGTTTATTCATGAGTCTCGATGATGTAGAGAGGCCTGTGATTCTGCAGCTCTTCTCTGAAAGCTCTGACATGCGTGCCGTGAGCTCTATTGTTGAAGCTCTTCAGCAGCATAAAAACTCAACTCAGCAGCTGGTCAGCAAATCACAGAGCAGCGCCTTACCCGTGGATTTGCTCAATATGCAGTGCATGCTGGGAAGGGCGGCGCAGGCCAAGGGCACTTCAATCTATTCAGCCCACAAACACAGCATTTCTCACTTGTCATAAGTTTTGTTGCTGTTAATTTGTTTCAAACTCCCTGCCATGTTATTGTATTGCCTCCGATTGTTTCTGTTCGTTTTCTTTATTATTATTCTCCTCCTTCGTTTTTCCGAATAGGAGTCAATGGAAGCCCTGTGAATGGAACATAGGAAAGTAATGTAAATTGGCACATTTATTGGGGTAGTTCTCAACAGAACCCTGACCAACTTTGGGGTCTCTAGGACCAACTCTATAGCGCCACCACCTGTTCAAAAATTCACTTTTCAAATGGTTATAACTTTTGAACTCTTTGTTCTAGAAAAATTCAATTTAGTTCATGATTACTCTCATCGTGGTTAATTGAAATGAAACTCAGTATGCTTTATCAGCACCACGATCTGAGGGCAAACGCGAAAGTTGGAAAGATACCAAAAATGGCCATTTGCCCATAACTTCTGAACAGTCATGATCTTGGTGTCTTGTTCCAGGATCGGACGAACCGCCTGTCTGACATTTCAAAATGTGTCATAAATTGCAATATCTTTTGAACAATTTCACATATTGGCAGAAAAATTGGTAGGGATCATCGACAGCATCTCCCGGAGGTACCTGAGAAGTTTGAACACAGCGCCACCTAGTGTTCCAGAGGATCTTTTCAAAGACGCTTATAACTCTAAGACTTTGGGTTACCATTGATTCCCATAGTATAGCCAAAAATACAATGGATGTCAATGAGAACCGAAACTGTTTGTTTACCAGCATTCTTCAAAATATCTGCCGTACACTCTCACTCTATGACATACTTATTTTCTTTACCCTCATTCTATTCATAGTTTCCACATGATATCACACTCTTACAGGAACGCCCTCCTGGAGGGCAAAACAAGGCTTTCCTCCACTGACCGCCACTTATTTGTACAAGGTTTGCAGTAAGTAGTAATATAGTAAGACACTGATATTAAAGGCCAGATTCAGTATACACCTGACTGATGATGCATGCTTTGTATAGGCAAGTGGATGAACCCAGAATATAAACCCAAGTTTCCCATTGAATGTTTTCCCATAGAAAACACTGCGTTCATATTCCGTGCTCATCTGCTTGCCTGTATAGCGTATGCATCACTAAGATTTGTACTGAATTAGATCTTTTAATATCACTGTTTTAATAAGGCACTTTAAATTTAACGTTTTCTAATGTCACACTGTTTTTAGTGATTGAAATATTGCGGTGGGTTCTTTATATGGATTGTAAATGGCCAAAACTCGCATTTTGTTCATTAATCCTTGTTTTATTCTTTTGAGAGGTGATCTAAATATTTTTGTGGATTGGAAAGATATGGAAAATTGACAGGCTTGTGCTGCAGTTATGGATGTTTTGCCCTCCAGGTCTTCGAACCAGTCACGTGAACTATGAACTGAACAGTCCTGATTAAAACTAATTCTTCATTTTCT